TTCATTTGACTGGTGATGATGCATATGAGCAGTTGCTTCTTTACACACTTTGCCACAGTGGGAATTTTTGTAGGCATGCATTTCCCAGCATGTGCCACCCAGATCTCGCCTCTGCCAGGCCTGGAGTCAGCACCTTCCTGTTACTCCCTTGTGTGCTTATCCCATGGCAAAGCCCTTCTGTGGCCTTGGCAGTGTTTGAGATGGGCAGCTCTGCTCCTCAGGTCCTTACACAGCCTGATCTATCCCTCACCCATGAGTGACCACCTGCCCTGAGTGTTGGAGGAGCTTCAGTGACAGCTCCAACCTCAGCTCCCACCCAGGATTCATCATGGCAAGAGACTGGTCTGCTGTGGGAAGAGCTTTGGCCAGAGAATGGACTTGATCTCCCATTGCAGGATCCACGTTGGGAAAAAACCCTGTGTCTGCCCAAACGTTGCCCAGAGGCCCCACTCAAGATGTTTTGAAAGTGGAATTAAGCCACTTGAGTTTTGTATCAAGAGATTTTGGGGAGGCATGGAGCCATTTTCAGTGTGATTGTGTTGTTTTAAGATGATTGGTCAATCCCTCTTGGCTTTGGCTGTGCACACCGATGCAGAAGACTCCCCTACATCCCCACAGAATCCCCAAATCCCCTGGAATATCCCCCTGAACTCCAAAATTCTCCCCCAAAAACAGTCAAATAGGAGGGTTTTACATGTCTTTTTTCAACTTCTTTATTTTTACCCCACTTTCAGGTGTTTTAAAGCAATGAGGAGGAATCAAAAGAAAATTAAGGCCAAACCAAGAGTGTTTACATGTTGGCATTGTGTGAGTATCCATGGAGTTGGGTTGGGTGGGTGGAAGAGAATTTTTTTGAGGAGTTTCCACCACATTGTCTCTGAAATCTTGGTCTTCAGTCCATCACTGTGAAAGACACCCATGGGCCTTAGAGAAGTGGAATTGTATTATTGAGTTGTATTTGTACTAATTGAAATAGGAGGAAAAGGAGATGGAATTAGGGAGGAGGAGGAAGGGGAGGAGGAATAGCAGGAACCTCATGGATCCACTGCTACCTGTATCTGCAGCCTTCCCCAGCCTGGAGCCTCATCCCCCCTCACCTCCCACAGGTGACTGGGGAGGGGGAGCTTGCCTCAAATATCCAGGGTGGGTGGGGGGTGTCTCTCAGTATTTGTTGATATTGAGGTGATATCTGGATTTTGCAGAACTCCAGAGCTGATCTGCAAATGTCCCTCAGGAGATGCTGGGGGATTCCAGAGATTATATTTGTCTGGGGACTCCTGGTGGCTGCTGCCAGCTGAGCCGTGGTGGTTGGCAGGGGATGTGGAATCCCTGGAGCTACATGGCAATCAGCCAGTACCAGGGCTGGGGGACCATTAACTCCATTTCTGGGGACTCCTCAGGAGAGCCAGGGCTGGGGGAAGGCCAAGACCCCTGGAGAGGGGAGAACTGAGAGAGGCAGTGTGGTAACCACGTGTCCTCTGAACAAACAGAGACACATAGTCCCAGGATTTTCCTGGGAAGCTGTGAGAAGCTGTGAGAAAGTTCAGAGAACAGGATAAGAAACAATTCTTATCTCCATTTGCTGCACCTGTTGTTGTGCACATGTGGAATGTGTTATGGAGATTGTTAACCAAAGGGTGGTTTCTTGATTGGACACTGGATGGGGTTTGGATTGATTGACCAATTAGGTTAAAGCTGTATTGGACAGTCAGTGAGGGTTACGAGTTTCTTAAGAGTAGTATAGCATAATGTAGTATAGTTTAATAAAGCAATTGATCAGCCTTCTGCAATCATGGAGTCAATGTTAACTATTCCCCGTTCAGGGGATCATTGCCACGATAAGGCAATACTGGAAGTGAGGGGCCCTGACAGCCCAGAGAGAGGCAAAGCTCAGTGAGGGGTAACCTGGGAGAAGGAGAGATCCTGGAGAGGGCTGAACCCAGGGATTCCCAGGACCCCCATCAGTCTTGAAAGTGAGGAACCCTGGAGATGGGGAATTCCCAATATACATGAGACTCCCAGCAGGCCAGACAGAGGGAAACCAAAGTGGAAACACCAGACAGGAGCACCCAGGCAGGTGAGGAGGAAGTCACTGCCCCTTTCCCCCTCTCCTCTGCTCCACCTCCCAGCCCAGCATTGCCCCCAGCTGCAGGACAACCCCACTGCCAACATTGTCCTGCCAGGGATGGATTTGGGGGATGTCCTTCCCCTTCCCGCTTGCATGGAGGCAAATCCCATCCCATCCCATCCCATCCCATCCCATCCCATCCCATCCCATCCCATCCCATCCCATCCCATCCCATCCCATCCCATCCCCCCCTCTCTCCCTCCCTTCCTTCCTCCTTCTGTCCCTCCTTCATTCCTCTCCTCTCTATCCTTCCCCAGGAACTGACAGACCAGGGAGGACAAATCCCTGCATCAGAACCTCGTGAAAGAGGCCATTTTGAGTGACTCCATGGCACAAGAATACAATGGGGAGGAGAAGCTGCAGTGGTATCCCATGAGGAGGGTCTCCAAACACAGCCCACAGTGCTCCAAGGAGGAAAGACCTATCCTGTGTCAGGAAGGTGGCCAAAGCTTCATCCAGAGCTCTGACCTGGTGGTCCTTGAGTGGTTTCGCATTGGAGAGATCTGCTACAGGTGCTTGGAACACGGCAGGAGCTTCAGATGGAGCTGCTACCTGATCTGGCACCAGAAGATCCACATGGAGGAACAGCCCTAGAAGTGCTTGGAATGTGGGAAGAGCTTCAGCCACGGCTCCTGTCTGATCTGCCATCAGGTAATTCACAGGGGATAATGGCCCTGCAGGTGCAGGGAATGTGTGCAGAGCTTTAGTGACCACTCTAACCTCATCAGCCACCAGTGCCTGCACTCCAGGGAATGGCTGTACAAGTGTGGGGAGTGAGGGAGGAACTTCAGCCAGAGCTCCCACCTGATTCACCACCAGAATATCCACACGGGGGAATGGCCCTATGAGTGTCCTGACTGTGGGAAAACTTCACCCAGAGCTCTACCTTGACCTTACACCAATGGATTCTCTGGAAGGGGAACCCCTATGAGTGCCCCAAGTATGGGAAGGGCTTCAAACACTGCTCCAACTCCATCACCCACTGCAGGACCTACGTTGGATGATCCACAGTGAGCCCCGCTGGGCAGACCGAGTGAATCATGTTCCTGGCAATCCATGTTGGGCATTGTATTGGGTTTGGGTGATCAGGTGTTGGAAACAGGGGTGCTCCACGGGTGGCTTCTGTGAGGAGCTTCCAGAAGCTTCCCCCATGTCTTCCAACAGTGGCTCCTGTTCTGATCCACTCCTGAAGGCGAGGGTAACCAATGTTCTGGTTCATGGATGCCCTGGCACACATTAATGTGAAACAACAGTGATTGATCTGTGTTTATAAATATATCTCTGTTTGGTTTATTTTAGAACAATTTCTTTGCCATGTAAAGCAGTTTTCGAACCCTTTTGGTTACCATCTCTATCATTACAATAACACTTTGGAAAACTTATAAGGGAAAAGAAAGTAAGTATAAAAGTAGAAAGATACACAGGCACCAGCCCTGGATCCAGCAATAAAAATAGACTGTTGCAATGTCCTTGTCCTTTGCCTAAATGATGGTCCCAGGATGTACCCCTTGGGGGTTGGAAAAGCCCCAGAAACACCAGATTCTGTGGGTCAGTATGGATTCAGGTTTGGGTGAATGCCCAGGTACCTCCTCTGGAGGGAGTTTTACACTGTCTGATGTCACACTGTGGATCCTGGGGCACTTTGGGCGGCTCTGATGGTTTCTGGCCCCTTCTGAGATGTGGCCCTGCCTCTCCCAGCAGCGCAGCTGAGCCAGGTATGGCCCATGTGAAGGGATGAAAAGCTCCAGCCCTCTCTGTGCGAATGTCCTGGGCCTTCCCCAGGGGAGTTTCCAGAGGCGAGGCAGTTGTGTAATGGAGGGCACTGCCCTGTCCAAAGCCCTGTCCCACGTGGCAGCATCTGCTCCTGATCGGCCTCTTCCCTTCCCTGGCTCCCAGCCCAGCTTGTCCCGTCTGGGGCTGGCTGTTCATGCCCTCTGCCCCGGGCACTTCCCATGCCCATGGCCAGCAAAGCCCCTCTGCTTTTGCCAATGGTTCGAGCCATTAACCCGGGACATTTCAGTCCCTCACAGCTCTGCTCCCCACAAGCAGAGAGGGATGGATGGTGCCTCAAAACTACTCCATCCCACTGAAAATGGCTCAACTCCACCTCCAAACTGCTCAATCCCACCTCAAAACTTTGGGGTATGTCCTGAGCCCAAATTACTCCCAGTTGTGGATGTCCCTTGTCCACAAACTTCAGCCAGTTGTTGCCATCGAGGAAGTGACAGTGGGCTTTTCCCCAGAAATGGAACACACCTGTGTGGGAAAGGAGACAGGTGAGGGGGTGCCTCCCCTCACCCCCAACAGACCCCAGCACCCCACAGCAGGTTGGGGGCTCAAGGGACCACCCTGGATCCCCCATTCCCACCCGGCTCTGCCCCACGGCCACCGCAGCACTGGCTGCTGGGTGGGGTCACCCCCACTGTCAGTCCCCCAGGGAGGGACAGGGGGAATGGGGACCCCCCCAGGAAGGTTCTGCTTACACACTCCCCTTCCCCCCCAGAACCCCAGGGAGCTGCTCAAGAGATCCAGTGATGGGGACATGAAGGGACTCCCACGGGAATCCCTTTGCTGCTGTTATCCCTCCTCTTACCCCCCTCTGAAACACGTTTCCCCTCTTCCCTGTGCTGCTCCCCCTCTCACCCAAGAGCTCCTTGCCCACATCCAGGGTAGGCTCCCAGCACCCAGAGTGGGGGCACACACAGGGAACTCACGGGTATCCCCATTCCTGATCCACCCTGGAGCCGATTCTGCCCCCTCCCATCACAGTATCTCTGAGCGTTCCCCCAAAATTCCTCCACACAGCTCCCCCATAAACGGGATCGGGGAGAACTGGGAAACTTTATTTGGAACACTCGGAGCAGCTGAGTGGGGGCAGAGTGACAGCAGGGCTGGGGGGACACACGAGCCCCCCAAAATCAGCGCAGGGACAGAGTGGGGGGTCCTGGCCGGGCCCGAGGCCACGGGGAGGGGCTGTGGCTGGCGGCGGCTCAGGAGCTCTGTGGGCAGAGAAAAGGGGGTGACACCGGGCTGGGGGCCCCGGGGGGAGCACACACGCTCCGGCATGGGGGGGACATGGCCCCCAGGACCCCCCCCTCACCTTCTTGCGCAGGTAGAAGCCGAGCCCCAGCGCCAGGAAGATGAAGCCCAACACAAAGCCCCCGATCCCCGTCCGCATCTTCCTGCGGGCACTGTCCGGTGGCATCTCTGGGGGTTCCGCAGGGCTCAGCACCCCCAAACCTCTCACAGACACCCCATGCACCTTAATACCCCTCCAGCCCACCCAAGACCATGAGACCTCTTTCCTATCCCCATCCAACCTCCCTAGTACCACCCAAACCCCCTCCCAGCTGACACCATCTCCCAATGATCCCCCAAACCTTTTCCCAGTCCCTTCCCAATCCCACCAGGACTCACCAAGATCACTTCTAGTAGATTGAAGCACACTCAGCTCCCATCCCAGCCCCGCTTTTACATCCCCAACCTGCTTCCAGCTCCGTCAGGCTCCCTTCCAGCACCACCAGGATGTTCCCTTTCAGAATCCACCAGGAAACCCTTAACAGCATCCCAGTCTTCCCAGCATCCTCCAAAACTCTTCTCTGCCCTCCCAGGCTATCCAAACCCTTCTCCTAGTTACCCCCTGCCTCCCTCAAACTCCCTCCCAATTACTCCCAGCTACCACCAACTCCCCTCTCAGTCCCCCCAGTCCCACTCCCCTGTTCCCGGCGCTGTGGGTGCCGCGCCGTACCCCAGTGCTGGCTCAGGGGCTGCTCCAGGCTGACGTGCTCCACCTGGCAGGTATAGGTGACCCCGCGCCGGGGCGGCGCTTCCAGCAGCACCAGCAGCTGGTGGGTCCAGTCCCCGTTGGGCAAAATGTCGGTGGCCAGCACAGAGAGCTCCTGCTGGCCCTGGAACCACCTCACCTGGATCGCGGCAGGGTAGAAATCCATCACGGAGCAGAGCAGGCGGCCGGGGCCGGGCTGGGAGCTCGAGGGCACCAGCGAGATGGACACGGTGGGAGGCACTGGGAGAGAGCGAGGAGACACTGGAATAAGATGCGGGTAAAATGGGAGACACGGAGAAGGACCCGGGTAACATTGAGAGGGATTGGGGAGGGTCTGGGAGGGGGTTGGAGAATGCTGGAAGGGCACCAGGAGTGAGAGTGGAAGTCTGAGAGTGGACCGAGAAGGACTGGGAATGGAATGGGAATGAACTGAAAGGGACTGGGAAGGAAGTGCCTGGCACTGGGAGGGACTGGGGCGGCACTGGGAGGAACTGGGAATGACGCGCGCGGCGCTGGGAGGCCGAGTCCAGCGCGGGGCACTCGGCGCTGCGGGTCTGCCTGGCAACGGATGAGTCATCAGAGACACGCATTCTGATTGGCTGAGAGGCGTCAGCAGCACGCTAGGCTGAGATGGACACACCGGGGGGCACTGGGAGAGACTGGGATGAACTGGGAATGGACTGGGAGAGACTGTGATGGACTGGGAGAGCTGCGGGACACTGCGGGGTGGGCAAGAGGCCACGGGGATGGGCACAGGAAGGGCTGACATGTCTGGGGTTATTCCCAGAGAAGTTTTGAGGGGCTCCAAGGTCACTGACAGGGCAGGGCCCGAGGGGACACGCTCTGCCCCACGCTCACCTCGGCGCTTCACGAGGAACGGGGTGGACAACTCGTAGTTGTGCCGGCAGTGCCTGTCCACCGCATCCCGTCTGTGCTCCATCCATTCCAGGTCGCTGTTCCAGTACCTGGCAAGCTCCTCCCCATAGGGGGTGTCCCCTACAAAGTGCCCCACATCGCTGTTGAAGTGCACGTACTGCTCCCGGTTATAGATGAACCTCTTCACGAACCTCATCCGCTCGGTGCCGTTAATGAAATGACATTCGGTCTTAACCATCTCCTGGAACACTCCTGTGTGTGCAGGACACAGGTCAGAGGGTGCCTCACCAGGAGCCCCCAGCACCCCACAGCAAACCGAGAGCTCAACCCCGGATCCCCACTCTGCACCCCTTGTGCCCCACGTGCCACCCCTTGGAGGCCCTTTCTTCCCGCGGCCCCTCTTCCTCTTTTCCACCTTTCTCCGTATTTTCCTCCCCCTTTTCCATAACTCAGTCGCCAGCACCACCCCCCACATCAATTTGAGGGTCCCACCTCCCACTTTTCCCTCCACCGTTCCCACCCTCCCAACACTTCCCGCCCTCCCGCTCACCCGAGAGCTCGGCGCCCGCAGCCGGGGGGGCTCCCAGCAGCACCAGTGCCACCAGTGCCACCGGTACGGTCGCAGCTGCCGCCCCTCGCCCCATGGCCAGCGCCGGGCAGGGTCTGACACCTCCCCCCTCCCCAAATTCCCCTCGCGGTAGAGTCTGGGGGGAAGGCGGAGCCCAGGTGGAGCCCAGGTGAGGAGCCCTGGGCTCTGCTGGTCTGCCTGGCAACTGGTGAGTCATCAGCGCCGCGCGCTCTGATTGGCTCTGCAAATGGCTGAGGAGAGGCCCAGGAGCTGGAAGAAAATGGGGAGAGATCCCGCCTGGAGCACCAGCACCAGCACGGGCGCAACAGACCCAGCCTGGGCACAGGGAGTGAATTTATTACCAACCAAATCACAGCAGCACAAGGAGAAGGGAAAGAAATCTCTCCAACACCTTCCCCCCACCCAAGGGGGATCACCAGGACCACGGATCACCAGGGCTCTGCCCAACGGGGTCACTGGGGATCATCCAGCGCGGATCCTCCCATGGGGGATGGAGGTGGAGCAGCGCACGAAGCTCTTCCTGCATCCCGATTGTGGATGTGCTGGCGGGTGACGAGCTTGGAGCTCGGGTTGAGGCTCTTCCCACACTCCCCACACTCACAGGGTCCTTCCCCTGTGTGGATCTTGCAGTCCTTGATGGGGTAGGAGTTCTTGCTGAAGCTCTTCCCACATTCCAAGCCCCAGCAGGGATATTCCTTGGTTTGGATCTCCTGCTGCTGGATCAGCAGGAGCTCTGGCTGAAGCTCACTCCACATTCCAAGCACTTGTAGGGTGTCTCAGCTTGAAAGAGGATTAAAAGAGGACACTTAGGAGTGAGTGTTGTCCCCTCTACAGGGTTCCGATAATCCCTTTCCACCAACAGGAAATGAAAATTAATAGATGAACATGAAAAAAAACTTGAACAGTTTATTAACAAACAGAATGCCCATAAGACATGAAACAAAAAACAAAACAAAACAAAACAAACAAACAAAAAAAAATCATTAATAGACATTGTTAGACCTTACCCCCCACACACACCCTGGGACAAAAGACCCAAAATGCCAGAGTCATCCCCGCTCCCCACACGGGGCACAGGTGGCAGCGGCTTCTCCCCCAGGGGAAAAGCCGAGTCCCGGCAGGTGCAGCAGCGGCGCTGCAGCTCAGGCTGTTTTCTCTCCCGGCTCCCGGGGTTAAAGACACAAGAACCCTTCTTTGGTCACAAAGCAGAGGATCACGGAATGTGCCATCTCAGTAACTCACTCCGAGACAATTGCATATACAGTAATCACAGGTCTCTATCTATCTATAAAAGCATGTACCGAACTCTGGATACAGCAACGTGCACCAGGACAGGAGTGGAGAGGCTGAACGGACACCAGGGGAGATGTGGAATGTACAGACAGAGCAAACCCTCCAAGGGCTTTAAACTGATTCCCAGCTTTTCTGTGTTTCAAGAGTCTTGATTGCTGGATTTGAAAGAACTGCGATTCCACCATGAAAAGCAGAGCAGTCAGAACCAGACACTGCTGTTGGAGTCAAAGTCTGGACTTGTCACATCTCAGTTTTGAAAATACATTGAATAAAAAACTCCATTACCCACTATTTCCCAGCCCATCCCTCTTCACACATAACAAAATACAATGGAATTCTTTCTAAATAAAGTAAAATGAATATTGACAATGTTCCCTCATAAAAGCTTACATTGAGAAAATACAGAATAATGAAGTGTGAAAAAAAAAAAAGAAAAACGTGCTGTCATTTCTCAGGCATTTGGCTCAGAGCCTGCTCTGTCTCCCAGGTGCCCAAGTCCCCGGGCCAGCTCTGAGCAGCCTCTCCCGGCTCTCCAGCCCGGCTCTCTCCCGGCTGTGCTCCGAGCAGGCACTCGGTGTTTCCATGGTGCCCCTGCCCCACTCAGCTCCCCGTGCCCTGCAAAGGCGCCGAGGCTGCTCTCGGTGCCCCTGGGTGTCCCTGAGTGAGGCAGTGACGAGCCCGGTGCCCAGCAAAGCCCTGAGGGACACCCAGGGACACCCAGGGACACCCTTGGGGCCGGCCTCCCACGGGACACGCAGCCACTGCCCACAAGGCCCCAGCATGTCCGGCCGGCCAATTCCTCCTGCCCCGGAGCGCCCGGGCTGAGCCCCAGGGCTCTGCAGGGCAGGGCTGGGGCTGTCCTGGGACCGTGGCCAAAGCCTCCCAGGGCTCTGGGCACTGCAGGGGCTACAAGGCCACAAGGCCGGGGCTGCTCTGTGCCCGTTCCTCTCTGTCCCTCTCTTGTTGGGTGCCGGGTGTGGCACTTTGTGACACGGGCCCGTGTCAGGGCCCTCGGTGATGTGGGACATTGTGGGGCTGTAATGAATGAGAGTGTTTGAGATTGCTTAAAAATCAGTGGCAAGGGCATGAGCAAAAGTCAGACTGAGTTGTAAAACTGAAGATCGTGGACAAAGACTCTCTAAGTAGTTAATGTTAGAAAGTTGTGTGTTTATTACACCAGCAGGTGGCACGGGGCTTGTCCCCGAAATGCGTCACCGCTCCACACAGAGTTCTTTGCCTTCTATTTATTTCCCAAAATAATACATATGCTCAACCCCAGCACCTCCCATTCCCGCTTTGTATTAAAATGAGGTCATTATTCCTTCACACATGCGCAACTCTTCTCTTGAATTGGGTCGGTGGTCTTGAAGTGGGTCAGTGGTTGCAGGGATGAAGTCAGGAAGGTCTTCATAAGGTCTCCGTGACCTTCTGGTATGATCCAAGGTCACCTGCTTCATGATGGATTAACACAGAGTCCAGGTGCTGGGCATCGTTCTCCTGGTTTCAATATGTTAGTTACTGTAATAGTTCACTTGCTCCACTTCCTCCTACAAATGAGCTCATAATATAACAATTAGCTTTAGCTTAAGCATCTAATAATCATTTACCTATCATTGGTGTATCTAACTTCAATATAAATTGGTTCTGACCCTCAGCTAAAATCTTAACCCTTTAAAATCATGATTCAAGGTCACATATTGGGGGGAGAGGGCGCAGGAGACAGAGACTACTCACCTTCAAGTTCGTGTGGCAACAACATTTATTCCCAAGCCCCCCTTATACAGTGCATTTGAAAGATCCGGTCTGGATGCTCTCATTGGTTTGAACTCCACACCCTTTCAGGTCCTGGCCACTAAGATGGTTGCAGCCTTGAGAGATATTTAATTGGACAAGACCCTTTTCAATCACAGTAACATTAAGCGACAAAGCACAACAAGTTCATTGGCAAGATTCACTCTACTGCCTACAGAACAGCTAAGGCACAACAAAAACGAAAACAAGCAACAACAAAACTGAACAAAATCCAGGCAACCAAAACAGAAATGAACTGAGAAGAATCTAGGGGATGATGGCTGGGTGTGTATGTTGTGTTAGGTGCATGGGACAAAATACAGTGTGGGCAAGGAATAAAAGGAACTTGGACTAAAACACTAAGCAGCACTTTAACCTCTACCATAATTTGTAACTTAACTTACACCTTAGGGCAAGCAATTTAACAGAGGAATAACACTTAACAGTATTTAACCTAACTTACAGCTATAACTTCCGCATTTTACTTAGCAATTTGACAGAAAAACAACACTTAGCAACACTTAGCTTGTAACTTACATTTACAACTTAGCAAAGGAACACCACTTGTTTATTACGCATCTAATCCGTTGGACCTCTGTGGCTCCAGGCATGGTTGCAGAGTTTTTGGTACACTTCATTTCCCACCACGGGTGTGCTCGCATCTGCTGTTCCAGCCTCCTGCTACAAGGTTCCTGATACAGTCCATTTCACCACCTGAAGGGGCACTTGGACAGGCTGCACCTCATGAGTCTCCAACAGGGAGCCCCATCTCCATCTCATTTGGTCCCCATTCCCCCTGTCCCTCCCTGGGGGACTGACAGTGGGGGTGACCCCACCCAGCAGCCAGTGCTGCGGTGGCCGTGGGGCAGAGCCGGGTGGGAATGGGGGATCCAGGGTGGTCCCTTGAGCCCCCAACCTGCTGTGGGGTGCTGGGGTCTGTTGGGGGTGAGGGGAGGCACCCCCTCACCTGTCTCCTTTCCCACACAGGTGTGTTCCATTTCTGGGGAAAAGCCCACTGTCACTTCCTCGATGGCAACAACTGGCTGAAGTTTGTGGACAAGGGACATCCACAACTGGGAGTAATTTGGGCTCAGGACATACCCCAAAGTTTTGAGGTGGGATTGAGCAGTTTGGAGGTGGAGTTGAGCCATTTTCAGTGGGATGGAGTAGTTTTGAGGCACCATCCATCCCTCTCTGCTTGTGGGGAGCAGAGCTGTGAGGGACTGAAATGTCCCGGGTTAATGGCTCGAACCATTGGCAAAAGCAGAGGGGCTTTGCTGGCCATGGGCATGGGAAGTGCCCGGGGCAGAGGGCATGAACAGCCAGCCCCAGACGGGACAAGCTGGGCTGGGAGCCAGGGAAGGGAAGAGGCCGATCAGGAGCAGATGCTGCCACGTGGGACAGGGCTTTGGACAGGGCAGTGCCCTCCATTACACAACTGCCTCGCCTCTGGAAACTCCCCTGGGGAAGGCCCAGGACATTCGCACAGAGAGGGCTGGAGCTTTTCATCCCTTCACATGGGCCATACCTGGCTCAGCTGCGCTGCTGGGAGAGGCAGGGCCACATCTCAGAAGGGGCCAGAAACCATCAGAGCCGCCCAAAGTGCCCCAGGATCCACAGTGTGACATCAGACAGTGTAAAACTCCCTCCAGAGGAGGTACCTGGGCATTCACCCAAACCTGAATCCATACTGACCCACAGAATCTGGTGTTTCTGGGGCTTTTCCAACCCCCAGGGGGTCCATCCTGGGAGCATCACTTAGACCAAGGACAAGGACATTGTAATAATCACAACCAAAACTTTTGTTGCTGGATCCAGGGCTGGTGCCTGTGTATCTTTCTACTCTGATGATTGCTTTCTTTTCCCTTACACAATTTCTCTTGTGTTACTTTAATGAGCCCCCTTCATTTCCAAAACCTGTCCACACAAACCCAATACACTGGATGTAAACATGGATCACCCAGAATGGGAGTCACCAGCTCTCTGTCCATTGTGGGTCACTCTGATGGGTGATAAAGCTGGAGCAGGGGACAAAGCCCTTCCCACAGTCGGGGCACTCGCAGAGCTTCCCTTATCCATGGGTCCATTTCCATGAGGCCAAGGCAGAGCTGTAGGAGAATCTCTTCCCACACTCAGGACACTTGTAGGGCCTCCACGCAGTGCAGATGTGCTGGTGCACAGCAAGGTGGGAGTTGCATTTGTAGCTCCTCGTGCAGCTGGGGCAGTGAATGGGCCACTCCCTTGTGTGTGTTTTCAGCCTGGGGGGTCGGTGGAAAAACCACTGGCAGCACCTTTGGGACACAGCTGAGGGCTGGCGGTCTCCTCTCCTGACTTCATCTTCTCTCCCCAGTTCAAATCATCCCCTTCCATTTACATTTTCTCCCCACAGTCAGTTTCCTCGCCCCAAATGAACTTCTCCACAATTAAGCCCTGATCTCCCTCCCTGCCCCTGGCTCCTCCTGGTGGGACCCAGCCAGGACCTTCGAGAAACAGCAGAAGAAAGGGTTTAAAAATTCATCATTATTTCCATTTATTTCCTTGGTTTCTGGGAGATTTTCAGGTGACTGCTGCGGGTGCTGGCTGAGGGGTCCTCTCAAGTTCCACCCCCTTTCCAGTCCCTTTTCCAGCTCTTTTCCTCAGCTGACCCAGACCTGCAGATTTTGGGGGGTGGGAGGGGTCGCTGTGCTCGGGAGTCTCGGAGGTGCCCCCACCCCAGGGAGGCTTCGAGGCCCCAGCACAGTTCCCTCTGGCCCCTTGGAGCATTTGGAATCTCCAACTCTCAGCCAGCACTGTCCGTGGAATTCAATCCCCCCTGCAGGGTTTTCCCCCAGACCAGCTTTATTTCCAGAGGGTTTTGTGCTTTCCCTTTGAGCCCGGGCCTGATGGCACCCGAGCAGCCATGGGTGCTGGGGCAGAAAGGGCTGTGGGACGGCATCTCCCCACAGACCTCCAGGACAGAACAAGGGTTGGGGGAGAAATAGTAAATAAACATGGGATTATAGAAAAAAAAAAAAAGTAGACTATATAAGATACATGAAATGAAATGAAATGAAATGGTGAAAATAAAGTGACAGCAGAGCTTTTTCTATTGGGACTTTGAATTTCTTGTCCCAGTTGTGAGCTGGGTCTGAGTCAGAAACCAGTGGCTGGGAGAGACTTTGCTGCTGAAGGGCCTCATATTGCCAAAACTAAAGTGTCAAGTAACAAGTAACACCTTGAGGTTACAGAAGTCCCAGCACCCACATTGGATTCCCTCGTCTGAAGCTGCAAGCTGAGCTCCCCTTGCGACTCTGCTTTGTAACAACAAATGTAAAAATTCAACACCACCACCGGTTCCCTCCCTCTTCTGCCCAGCGGTGCAGGGAGAAGGGATGGGAGTTACGGCCAGTTTGTGCCACTGCTTCCCCCTCAGGGACAGGAATCCTTGCCCTGCTCCAGGCATGGGATCTGTCCATGGGTTCGGTCCCTGCAGTCCAGCAGGAGTCCCTCCCCACCCGTGTGGTCACTCCTGGCTCGCCCTGAGGTGCGGGGCAGCCACGCTCCAGCCCCGCCAGCGGCAGCGCCGCTTCATGCCAGGCCATCAGATCCATGCTGTCCAAAAGACCCCATTTTCCCATGCCTCTACCTGGCTAGAGGCAGGGCCTCTCTAGCCCTGGTTATCATTCCCTCCCTCAACATACATCCTACAGGTTCCTTCAAGGGAATGTGACATATGATTTCCCTTCTGTTGTACCAGCAGCTCGGTCATGGGAGGCTGAGGCTCCCTTCATTTTAGCCGAACTCCCTCGGTTAGTGTTTTCCTTTTTGAGCTGACATCCCTGCTGCCAGCACATAAGTGGGTTTGCTATCCCACCTTTTCATGTCTTCCCCATGGTCACAAAGGAAGAACTTCAGCTCAGCTCATTGGGTGTAGCTCCTCTCTCTAGCTGGGGGACATTGGACTTTGATGCCAGGGCCTTCTTCTTCTTGCAGTGGTGCCACATGGGAACTGTTCTTTCTCACCTCTTCTCTCACCTCCCTAATTTCTTCTTTAAACTCCTCTTTGGTCCTTACCCAAAGCAGAGACATGAGTGTGCATCAGGCCATTGACCATACTCTCATAATACCTGAGCCTGTTGGCTACAGAACCCAGTGTCTCTCAGTCGTCCCCAGCATTCACCATTGCAATGAAGGTGTTGTATTAGGATGGCCCCAGGATTTGCCACGTTCCACAACATTTGTCCTGTGCACCTGACATTGTTAAGAGTCATGATGGTGCTGTTGGCCCCTTCCAAAGAGTTCTTCTAGTACTGCCACTTCCTTCCTCAGTGGTCTTCCAATGGTCTTAGGACAGCAATCCTGCATTCTGCCTCTGTGAGCAAACCTCTTTCTTACACTCGTTAAAAGCCACTCACAGAGGGAGGGAAAGGGGCCACAGCTCCCTCAAGAACACCTGATCAATACCCATGCCCTGGGTCCAGGACCCCGAATTCCTTGTTTTGCCACCACTCAGTTGCTCTCCTGGACCCATAAGGACCCAAACCCAGAGTAACTAGGTCGAATAAGCCTCACAGCCCCGCTGTACAATGTCTCTTCACAGATCACAGAGACTGTGGTGTGACAGGGACTCAGCTGATGATTTCAACTTTTGGCCGCCTTGCTGGTTGTGAGGGCCCTGGCTCCTCATGATCATTAACTGGGCACACTGTTAATGATGTCTTATACTTCCCCCTCTGCACAGGGGCGACTGCTGCTGGCTGTGACTCAGCTGGAGTGGTTCAGCTGGAACCTGGACCGTCGGAACATCCATGGGTTCCAGTGCTGCACCACCAGACTCTCCCTCTCTGAGGTAGGGAGAGGGTTACCAACCAGCTGGAGAAGTATATTCCCTCAGCAGCTGTTGTATCTTCTCCATTACCCCCATCCAATCTGGGTGGTTTATTTATGAGGTGGGCTGCAGGGCAGCATCCCTAGTCACTGAGGTAGACTGACTAGATGTCAGAGTGGTAACCCAAGGCAGTCTCACCTTATCTCTAAATGCTAAATAGAATATCAGCAACACCAGCCACTGTATGATATGGTTGGTATCTAGAGAATATTTGACCCTTTGGAAAGCTCTTGGGATAGGCCCAAAGAAATGGGTGAAAGGTTGGGAGAAAACTTCCCCTGGTGTCACTCCCTCACAAATGGGTCCCATTATCGATGAAACCCCAAAAACATACACTTAGTGTGTGGTAACCATGTATCTACATTCCCACTTTCAAGAAGTTAAAAATCCATTAATTCCTCACCTTATTGATCCATTGTGCAAATACTGCATAACAGCCACAGTAGCCTTAGTCATAGGACCCATGTTTAGATAAGGAGCTGCAAACGGGAAAAATACAGCCACAACCATGCACTCATTGAACCAGGGTAGGCTACACCACATGGTGCTGCCTAACAAGGTTTCTATATCCAGCACACACAAAAGTAGGTTACCCAGGAACTTTTATTCCTTTTTCACTCTTTCCTCTCAATGCCCTCAGGCCCCACATTGGGTGCCAAAATCTGTCTTGGTTTGAAAGACAGGTGCCTATAAAGGAAGGCGGGAACCTCTCTTGGAATGGAAAATATGACCCCCTCCCCTATGAATTATTATAAATTTGAAATTAAGTGGCTTTCAGGCAAAGATATGAAAAAAGAAATAGCAGCTCTTTACTAGTATGTATGTGTATAAGGCAAGCAAACAACAACGGCAGGAACAACAACCAGAACCACAAACCCGGTGCTAGGCTGCTCTTGCCGTTGGTGCAGTTCCGGGCGCGGCCAGCAGGGGCGCTGGTGGCTCCCGGCGGGCAGGGTGCGATGATTCCTCCGCAGCTGCAGGGGGCGCTGCGGCAGTTTTGGATGCCTCTCTGCGCGTGGGCTGGCAGGAGACGGAACCGAGATTTCCTTGGCAAAATCACTGGGGCAGCTGAGCTGGAAGTGGGAAAAAAAAAAGAAGATAGCAGAAACTCTGGGGCCCTGCCTAAAGCCACAGGGTGTCTGCAGGTCGGGTTACAGTGTATCAAGAAGCCCTGAAGCATCGGCAGAGAAGAGCGGGGCTGAGCGGGGAAATTGCTCCCCTGGGTAGCTCATCTGAGATGGCTCATCCCTGGGTCAGGCTGTGCAAAGGGGGCAGACCCTGGCATGGCACTGGGGGGCTCCTGGTCCCAGGTCCTGGCATGGTACACACTGGCTTTGGGCTCCCAAGCAGCAGAGAACCAGAGAAGGAAGCCAGTACGGCCAGCCACAGAGCCAAAGGAAAATAAACAAAAAGAAACAGGCAAAACCCACAAGGCAACAGTATCTCTGGTCAGAGGCATGACACAACACAGCCATGAGCAGACTGGCCGCTCTCACAGGAAATCCTGGGCTGGCTCTCACCCATCCCTATACTACCAGAGCCAGGAGAGGTGAGGGGAGACCAACGACCACCACAGAAACAAAAAGCCCCAAAAACAGTATGGAATAAAAAAAACATTCCCAAGACAATGCCTGTGGGCCAGAGAGAATTAGAATTGTGGAATCATTTAGGTTAGAAAATATGTCCAAGACCAATCAGCATTTCCTGATGCCACCAAAAGAAATAATTGAAACCAAGGGTGAGTTTTATGGGGCTGAAAGTCAAACAGTCTGCTCTTCCCAAGGAGCTGCTGAAGTCCATCGGCATCCCGATGGATGTTCCTGTCTGTGTTCATCCAGGTACCTGTGGGGAGCCAAGATGTGGAACCCACCAGCCAGGTATCTCTCCAACATTGCTTACCAGGATCATAAATCACCAAGGCTCTGCCCAACGGGGGTCACTGGGGATCATCCAGTGTGGATCCTCCCATGGGGGCTGGAGCTGGAGCAGCGCACAAAGCTCTTCCTGCACTCGGGGCACTCACAGGGCTTCTCCTACCAGTGGCTCCATTGGTGTTGGGTCAAGTGAGAGCTCCTAGAGAAGCTCTTCCCACACTCAGGACACTTGTAGGGCCTCTCCCCCGTGTGGATGCAACAGTGGGTGACATGGGAGCTGGTATAAAACTTCTTCCCACACTCCTCACACTTGTAGGGCCTCTCCCCAGTGTGGATGCGCCGAGGGATGATGAGGTATGAGTTTTGCTTGAAGCCCTTCCCACAGTCGGAGCAGCAGAAGGGCCTCTCCCCTGTGTGTACTGGCTGATGGAGGAAGAGCTGTGAGCTGGTGCGAAACCTCTTCCCACACTCGGGACACTCGTAGGGCTTCTCCCCAGTGTGGATGAGCTGGTGGCTGGACAGGGTGGAGCTGTGCTTGAAGCGCTTCCCACAGTCATGGCAGCGGAAGGGCCGCTCCTCCGTGTGTATTGGCTGATGTTTGAGGAGATGGGCACTGCTCTGAAACCTCTTCCCACACTCAGGACACTCATAGGGCCTCTCCCCAGTGTGGATGCGCTGGTGGATGACAAGCTGGGAGCTCCAGGAGTAGTTCTTCCCACATTCCAACCACTCATACGGCTGTTCCCGTTCCCTGGTGTGGATCTTACAGTGCTTGATGAGGGTGGAGCTCCGGATGAAGCTCTTCCCACATTCCAAGCACTTGTAGGGCGATTCCCCAGTGTGGATCTTGTGGTGCTTGATGAGATCAGAGTTCCGGATGAAGCTTTTCCCACATTCCAAGCACTTGGAGGGCAATTCACCAGTGTGGATCTTCTGGTGCTTAATGAGGTTGGAGTTCCGGGATGAAGCTCTTCCCACATTCTAAGCACGTGTAGGACAATTTCCTAGTGTGGATCTGGTGGTGCTTAGTGAGATTGGAGCTCCGGCTGAAACTCTTCCCACATTCCAAGCATTTGTAGGGCCGTTCTCCAGAGTGGATCTTCTGGTGGCTGTGCAGGTGGGAGCTCCGGCTGAAGCTCTTCCTACATTGCCCACACTCATAGGGCCGTTCCCCAGTGTGGATCCTCTGGCGCTGGATCAGGTCAGAGCTCTGGCTAAAGCTCTTCCCACATTCCCCACACTCATATGGACGTTCCCCGGTGTGGAACATCTGGTGCTGGATCAGGTTGGAGCTCCGGCTGAAACCCTTCCCACATTCCAAGCACTTGTGGAGCTTCTCCCAAGCCTCAGGCTTCTCCACCAGCTCCGAACTGTATTTGGATCTCTGGCCTTCCAACACAGAGGGGGTCTTTCTTCCTTGCAGCTCTCTGGGCTGGATTTGCAGCCTCTCCTTGTGGGGGATCTCCGTCGCTTTTCCTCTTCCTCCATCTGGCCAAGGCTTCAGAATGACAAATCCTGGTTTGGGACAAAAAACAAGGGCGTGAGCTCCTTGGAGTGGGGTTCCTCCTGAACAAGTCCATCTCAGGAAGTTACCAGATATTTTGTGTCCATAAAAATCTCCAAAGCACCAAGACTCAGCCCCCAAAAAACCGCTCATAGGAGATCTGCCTCTCTCGTCTCTCCAGTTTTGGTTTCTGCGGGTTTCACTTCCGGACTGATGGGGGACCCATGTCTTCTGGCATGGCCCATTCTAGGGTCTTTCTTATGGATGATCAAGGGGTTTTGATGCTCCAGTGATCCCTTTTCCCCTGACTCTCTGCTCCAGGGTTCCACAGATCCTAGGGGTCCCCCTACTCCAGGCCCTTCTGCTCTGCCCTTCAGGCTGCCTGGGGTCCTCCAGCTCCGGGTGAGCTATCCTCTCTTCCCACCCCAGGGGTCTTAGGGTTCCCCTCCACTGCTCTCCTGAGGCATCACAAAGACCCATGTCCTCTCCCCACCAGTACCTGGTGATTGTCACATGGACCCCAGATTTGAACTGCAACTCAGCATTGGGTTTCTGCAAGATCCAAAATTCCCCCCAAAAAACCAAGCCCTCGCAGTGACCCACAAAGTTATTTGGGTCTCGAGTCCACAATCTGTAAACTTCAAACAGTCCCCATAAAAACTTGCTTGAGAACACTCTGATATATCTAGGGCAACCTTCCCCTCCCTGGCCACCTGCAGGCTGGAACCCTGTACTTCTCCTGTCTCCCTTCTCTTCCTCCCATGCCTGTTCCTTGCCAACCCTGGACCTCTCTTTTGTACTCCCCTCTGCTCCACATATGCCACAGCACTGGCTGGTGGATGTGGGGAACGACCCCCAAAAATCCCCCACAGATGGACAAGAGGGTTGGGGATCCCTCCAGTGCAGATCCAACCCCTCCCAGAGCCCTGGAGAATCCCTCCAGGGATGATGTCATGGGAACACAAAGAGACGCCCTACAAGACCTCCTTTCCCACTGTGCCCCTCCCCTAATCTCCCTCTCCTACCTACCCCTTTCCATCACCCACCCCAATCCCAGCTCTGCCCAGCTCAGCTTGGGGGTGACACACCCCCTTCTTTCACTCAGTCTAGGTGTCCTAAATGTCCTTTTACGACTTCTCTCCCCCTTTCCCATCAAGTTGAAAGGAATAAATGAGTGTTTCTTAATAAACAGATGGTGTGAATCTGCTTGGAGATAGGGCTAAGAACTCGTAGATGAGGAACTGACAGGAGAAACCTTCGGTTTCAGAAAAAGGGTATTAATTCACACAGACTGCTCCTTCGCCAAAGTCCTGCAAAATTCCTGAACTTCAAGAAGATAAAAGATTTAATAGAGCCATGAATATAATGCGTAATAGAAAAGGAGAGAATGTTCAGGAAGTCTGCACATTGTCCCACAGGTAATTAAGGATGTGGATACCCCGGGGGGACACTTTGGCAGAACAGGGACCTGCTCTGGGATACAGGGTGTGGATGGGACAGTGAGCACAAGGAGGAGGAGCAAGGAACATCTGGGAAATGTGGATTATATGGGAAAGTGACAGAATTCACTTTTAGGGATTTTATTTTGGTGACAGCAAAACTAACTGGTTTTGTATGGAGCGTCTCCAAATTACTTGGAAGCAACCAGGACAAGTGGAGTCTAAAAGCAACACCCTGTTCCAAGGGAGGGAGGGAAGGGCTCACAGCCTGCTATTGAGTCCCTGTTAAAGGCAGGGTTTTCGCAGCCAGGAATCTCTCCCTGCAACACCCTTATCCTGCCAGTCAACAAACTGGATGGATGGACACAAGGAAGAAATCACAGGCTCCTGCCCTGGGCCTTCCAGACACAGAAAAAGAATTTGGATTGTGTGTGGATATTAAACAGGGTCTTGCCAAAGGAATTCTTCTGCTGAAATCTTTAACCCAGTGGCCAGAGTCGCCTCATTGTCTGCAGAATTGTGCAGACACAGCTTTCATGGGAACTGAGGCCCAAAAACTGAGGACAGAGGGAGCATCTCTTATTGTTCAAGCCTGGCATCAAGGTAAAGCTTTGATAACCAAAAGAGCCTCTAAATGGATGAGCAGAGCTTGAGTATGACAGTAGGAAACTTGTTCAGTGGCACAGGAGGATTTAGAACTGAGGACAGGGGAAGGGTTTAACCCAGCCTCCTGTTTGAACAGCCTGGAGAGGGGCTGGCAAGAAACCCAGGACTGCATTCAAGGGACAGAGCTCCAGACCCAGGTTGGGAGAGATTGATTAGGCACACCCACCTTGGCACTTTGCTGCTCCCAACACCCAGCCAGGACATCGGCTCCTGCCTAAGGAGGGCAAAGCAGCAGCACTGGTGGCCAAATGGCCAAGTGGCCCATGCCAAGTGTCCCTGAGGCCAGAAACAGCCGCCAGCACAGCTGAACACGGGGGGACCCCTCAGCCTGGGCTCCAGGCTCTGCAGCCCCGGAGATTTGCACTTCCCGCCTGCAGCAGGAGGATGGCAGGCCGCCCCTGAGCCTGCACTCAAGGCAACGCAGCAGCAGCCAGGGCTCCACAGCGGGCCAAGCCCCTGCGCCTGCCCACACATCCTCTGCTGCAATCCTCGGCCTGGCCACCCTCCTCTGCCAGCTCCAGCCACCGGGGCCAATCCTTGCTGCCACTGCTGCAGCTTCAGCGCTGGCTGGGCCTGCACTCGCCACAGCTGCTGGGGAACACCACGGCACAATTCCACTCTGCCTCTCACCTACACTCACACACTGGGCTGCCTGCGGTTGGATTACACCATGAGAAAGTTTTTTCTTAATAATGCTGCTTTTATATTGTCAGTCAGGTTTGAGCCAGGGGTGTGAAAATCAATTTTTATTCTTAGCTGAAGAAGTAGGAAAAAATCTTTATGGCTTTGGATTATTTTTGTGCATGTGTTTGTGTGGCTGTTACTGATAGAAAAATTTTGTTGTGGGTTTACCTATAGGCTGCAATTGCAAAACTAAAAGAGATTCAAAGGTGACCCTTTAATGCATAAACAGTTAACAGAATACTGTTAAAAAAAAATTTTAGTCTTTGTTGGGGGCCACGAGTGAGTCTCAGAATAGCTTCCCTGGAAGAGAAGCTTCCTTCCGAGCAAGGAGGAAAGCAGCTTTGGAAATGCAAATTAACACTGCTGGGGCAAAGTGTGGACAATGGACCCGGGTCTCTTGCCTGGGGCAGGAATTGGGCTCATTCCCTCTGCCCCTCACCCCAAGCTCTGCCCGCTTCCGCTGATGGAATTTGCACAGCTCAAGGCAGAGCCCATGGTGAGGATATCTGACTCTGCAACACAAATGGGTTCAGCTGCAAAGGAAAACAGCAAATGAAGAACGTTGTGAAAACTTCACTAAAAAAAGTCCGGGGGGAATCATCCCTCTGCCCACTGCAACAGGAGCTGTCACTGTCTATGCTGTATAGGATGTATTAGAACACTGGCGTCTTCTTGATACCACAAGTTCAGCAAAATCAGTTTGGAATCCAAGTATTTGATGTGCAAATTACAGAAAAGCAGACAATTGATGCAGCCCTGGCTGGAAGGAGCACCCAAAAAATGGGGAAAAGATGAACAGCCACCGCAACAAATCCTACAACACCATGGACCAGCTCCTGGGAACCCCAACCGATTCATATCAGGAGCCACAGTACCCATTTATCATTTCAATGTCAGGATTAGATGACAAGCTGTCCTCAAAACAATAACCAACCAGGCAGATCCAGCTCCTGACCTTCCTGCTGACCAATCCACTGAAATGAGGAACATTTCACCAGGGGATGGAATCAGTTTAGCTGTTAGCAGAAAAAGGAGGAGTTGGTGGAAAATTCAATGACTCAAACTGCTGTTTGCAAATAGATGGCAATGGAAAAGTGGAGAAATAGATAACAAAGGAAATAAGAAAAGCACCTCCTGTTACGGCCCAAATGCGGAAAGGATGGGAATGGGACACGATTTCGTGGTTCCCTGGCAGACCATGGGTTAAACGAATGCTCTTTCTCCTTCTGTGTGCTACAGCAACTCTCATCTTTTTGCCATGCTGCACACCTTGAGAGTGCAGCTCATTCAGCAGCTGAGCGAGGGCATGCAGGTGGCAGCCAGGCCTCCTGATCCAGAAACGGCTACAAAAGGACAGGGAATGAGGGCACTGAGAATAATCTTTAAAGCAAAGGAGACCCAGTAAGAACAGAGTCAGTGAGTGAGTCTGCCTGGAGATAGGGCCAGTGACTTGTAGATAAGGAAGTAATGGGAGCAAACCATCAGTTCCAGAAAATGTTGTTAATTGATATGGACTGCTGCTCAAAGTCCTGCTAAATTCCTGAACTTCGAGCAGAAGAACAAGGACCTAACAGAGCCATGAATATCGGCTGTTATACAAAAGTGGGGTGCACATGAACGAGGACATGCAGCTGGCGGATCGGGAAGTCGGAACCTTCCAAGCACCTCAGCCAGTGGGCAAAGGCAGAGGGAGAAGCGGCCGGGAAAATGAGGATCCAAAGGAGGCTGCGTACTACAGCAATGGCAGAGAGCGCCTGGCCAATGCCCCACGGCCTGTGCCTCTGCCCAGCAAGAAAGTCACTTTTCCAGGACTCCTCGCTCTCCTCGGGCCACAGAAACCTCCGGCCACGGAAATTGCCCGCACAGCCCCGGCCACGGGGCAGCCACCTCTGTCCGAGCCACAGCAAGCGCGCCGAGCCAGCGCTGCTCCGGCAGCGGCTCCTGCCGAGGCAGCGGCGGCAAGGAGACCGCGGGCAGCCGCTCCCGCAGCGCCCTCAGCCCAGGGCCAACACGGGCCGGGCACGGCACAAGCCACCCGCCCCAGCCCCCTGCCGCCCCCGAGGCCCGCAGCCAGCCCCGAGCCCCCGCACAGCCCAGCGCGGCTCCCACCTGCGCCGGGGCCGCCTCCGAGCTCCGCCGCCGCCTCACCGGGCTCCGGCCGCTGCCGCCGCTCCCGGGCCCGCACACGCGCTCCGCCAATGCCGCCGCTGCTGCGCCACCGCCGCCCGAGGCCCGCCGCCGGGGCCCGCCTCCGCCCCGCTCCCGCCAATCAGCGCGCCGCACCCACGACTGACGCCACCGGCGCCCAATCGCAGCCACGGGCGGGCTCTGCACGCGGCACAGCCTCGCCCCGCGCTCTCCGCGCCCCCCGCGCTGCCTGAGGGCAGAGCCGGAGCTGAGGAACAGCCCTGCAACGGGCCCGGGCCCGCGGCGGCATTGAGCTGCCAGCACCAACAAACTGCTCCGCAGCTCCCGCCACGCCTTTCCCAGCCCTGCGCCTGCCGTGCCTCCGCCTCAGCGGGAAGCCCTGCAGCCTCGCTGCTCCTACCCCTAATCAGGAGCATCTGATCACCATCTGCCTCCGTGCAGGACCAAACAAACCGAACCGATGTGGGGCTCTCTGCCGTCCCAGCTGACTGCTCCAGGCTCCAGGGCAGACCGGGAGCTCTGGGAAGGGGCCCCGGCTCGGGGCGCAGCCCCCGGGGCAGCTCCAAGGCTCCTCCAGCCGGGATGGAACGTGGCAGGGGGAGCAGGGGAAGGGACGGGGCTGCCGGCGCCGGGCGAGGGACAGCGGGGGCACTTCACAAGCATTTAATGCAAAAATCATAAGAAAGGCAACAGCAACAGTGTCACCATAGCACAGGGCCACATGAGGACACGTCCCATTGGAGTGGGGTGATGCCCGCCCGATGCCGGGCACCCACCAGAGCCGCTCTCTCACTGCCTTCTACAGCCGGACAGAGGAGACAAAATTTAACCAGGAGTTCAGGAGTTGAGCTAAGGACCAGGAGAGTTCCCTCTTCCAATACCATCACGAGCAAAATTGGAGATATTAATTGAATTTATTACTAACAAGCTCAGGGCAGTAGAATAAGAAGTAGAAGATCCTTAAAAGCACCTTCCTCCCACCCTTCCCTCCTTCCTGCTGCACCTCCTGCCCCGGCAGGGCCGCAGACAGGGAATGGGGCCGTGCTCAGTTCATCCCCGGGGCTTCTCCCTCTGCTCAGGGACAGGAGTCGTTCCCCTGCTGCAGCCTGGGCTCTCTCCCACCGCAGACTTGTGCAGGAACTTCTCCAGCCCGAGTCCATGCCATGGGCACAGCCCCCTCCAGCTGCTGCAGCGTGGGTCACTGTGCCCCGGGCTCAGTCCTGCCAGGACAGGCTGCTCCAGCGGGGCCCCTCTGGCCAGGGGTCTCCCATGGTTACAGGCTCCTCTCAGGTATCCCCCTTCTCCAGGGGGCTGCTCCAGGGGCTGCAGGGGGATCTCTGCATCCCCATGGATCTCCAAAGGCCATCAATCTGCAATTCCCACTGTTGGTCTGTGTCCCAATGGATTTTCCTGCCCCTACATTCATCAAGGTGTTCACAGGGAGCCAGGAAGATGTGGAGCACTCCAGGCAGGTTTCTTCCCAACAGGTATCACCAGGACAACAGATCACCCAGGCTCTGCCAAACAGGGGAACTGGGGATCAGCCAATGCTGATTCTCCCATGGGGGATGGAGCTGGAGCAGTGCACAAACCTCTTCTTATACTTGGGGCTTTCCTTTACAGGTACCCCATGTGTGTCAGGTTAAAGTTGAGCTCATGGAGAAGGTCTTCCCACACTCAGGACACTCGTAGAGCCTCTCCCCAACGTGGATGTGCTGGTGTACCCTCAGGTGGGAGCTCTGGCTACAGCCCTTTGCACACCCCCCACGCTGGTAGGGGCAGCCTCCTGTGTGGATGTTCTGGTGCTGGATCAGGTGGGAGATGCAACTGAAGCTCTTCCCACATTCCAAGCACTCATAGGGCTCTGACCCTCTGTGGATCCCTGGTGGTTGATCAGGACAAAGAGCTTCCTGAGCCTCTTCCCACACTCCTCTCACTCACAGGGCTTCCACCCAGTGTGGCTCTTGCAGTGATTGATGAGGTCTGGGCTCCATCCAAAACTCTTCCCACATTCCCCATGATATCTCTTCTCCATTTCCTTTCCAGATTGGGAGGATGTGAACACAGCTGCAGTCTTTCAGTGTCTGGGGTGTGGGCATTTAGCACCAGAGACTGTGCCAGGCACGGAGCCACAGGGACACTGGAGGGACATTTACCTGCCCGTCACAGCCTCAGCTGGGCAAGTACAGCCCATGCTGAAAACAGCCACTGGCAGAGATAATTTCTGATTAATCTTGTCTGCCTCCCAGGAACTGGTTTGAAAAGAAAAATCTCTCAATTTGCTGAGGCAAAGAAGAGGAAAGGTAGTATTGAATAAAATAAAAAGCAAGGCCTCTTGGGACAATGGTTGTCTTTAAAAGTCAAAGCCAACAATATTCTGTATTGGTTGAAAATCTAGCTTTTGGTTTCTCTGTTTTTCTTATCTGTTTTCTTCTGGAAAGTTGTGGTAGTGGAGTTTGGTTGGGGTTTTTTGTTTGTTTGTTTGGGGTTTTTTTGTTTTGTTTGTTTTTTGGGTTTTTGGGGTTTTTTTGGTTTTGTGGTTTTTTGTTGTTGTTGTTGTTGTTGTTGTTGTTTGGGGTTTTTTTTAAGCAGAGATGCTGAAATACTTATAGGTAAAGAAAATAAATAGGAAATTTTCCCCTTCCCCTAATCAAATTATGTGGTTTGTCAACAGAAGGATTGAGACTGTATGTCCAGCAAGCCTGTGCCATTCCGAAGTGCTTTCCTTTGAAAGGACAGCTGTCTTTTCCTTTGTGGATAGGAACAAATCAAAGCTATCCTGGAAACAGAAACTGTCCCTCCTTTTTTCCCTTCTTACTGGAATACAAATGTGTTTAGTTCTGGTGAATGCTCTCCACGTTGAGGGCAGCCCATCTCCAGACCAAATTCCTCTCTTGCAAGAAAGTCTCTCCCACAGACACAGAGCTTGAGCTGACAGAGAAAAATGGGACCTCACAAGAGAAGCAAAGTCTTCTAAGGAGAACAGAATTGTTCAGGTTGGAAAAGAGCTGTGAGCTCATCAAGTCCAACTGTCAACCCAGCACTGTCAAGGCCACCACAACCATGTCCCTGAGTGCCACATCTTCAGGTGCTTGAAATGCCTTCATGGATGTGTCTCACCCTCTGCCCTGCCAGCCTGTTCCAGTGCTTGACCATGCTTTCAGGGAAAATATTGTTCCTCTGTCCAATCTAAACCTTCTCTGGCACAACTTGCGGCCATTTCCTCTCATCCCATCGCTTTTCTGTGGGGGAAGAGACCAATTCCCCCCTTGCTCCAGGCCCCTTTTAGGGAATTGTGCCCTGCTGGCTCCTGCTCTCGCCCAGCACCCCCAGGCCCTTTCCAGCCCCTGTGCCCAGGCGCTGGGCTCTGCAGGGCTCTGTGACCCCAGCGCAGGATCCGACACATGCTGGGCTGGGAGATGGAGCAGAAGAGAGGGGGAAAGGGGCAGTGACTTCCTCCTCACCTGCCTGGCTGTCCTGTATCATCTTCCTCACTACCATGAGGAAGGATCCTCCTCCTCTGTTTGGCCAAGCCTTGGGAATAAGAAGTCTGATTTTGAGGGAAAAACAGGGGGTGAGCACATTGCCCTGAGGGTTCCTCCTGCCTGAGTCCATCTCTAGAAGTCACCAAGTATCTTGTATGCATGAAAACCACCACAACATCAAGACTCAGAGGAAAAAACCCCTCCCTGGAGTTTCCCCTTGTGGATGCTGCGGTCCTGCATATATTGGAGATCCTTCCTCTGCAGGGTCTCCATCTGCTCCAGGTTTCCCAGGAATCCCTGGGATTCCCCCACGCTGGGGTTCTGGGAGTCCCCCTTTTGTGGGCCGCTGAGGGTGCCATGGGTCCCCCTCTCTGGGGTTGCACTAAGGGATGCTGAGGGTTTTGGGGTCCCAGGGGTCCCTCCTCCCCTGACTCTCTGCTCAGGAGTGCCGGGGGTCTCAGGGGTCCCCTCTCTGGTGTCCCAGGGTGTCCCCCACGCCAGGCTCATCCCTTCTCTGGGCTGCCCCTTCTCCAGGCAACCCTCACTCCGACTGTCGGGGTCTCCCCTCTCCAGGCTCCCATTTCAGGGTCAGGGACTCCCGGGGCTCCCGCTAAGCTTTCCCCCTCTCAAAGCTGCTCCCCTCCCCCGCGCCGGTACCGGGCGATCGCCACGTGGCTCCGGGGCACTCCATCCCCCACCCAGCCCGGGAAACTCCAAAACAAACACCTCCCAGGAACCCCGCAGGATCCACCCGAAAGGGATTTCCGGCCACCCTCAGACTCCGGCGAGAGCCAAACATCGCTTCGCCCGCCCTGTCCCGAAAAAAAGAAACAGAAACCGCCAAAGATACTTCGGGTGAGCTCCAAACATCCCTCCCTCCTTCGAAAAAATTCCTGCCGGGACCGCCCCAGCTGCTCGGGGCGAGGAGTCCCTCCCCGGTCCCCTGCGGGATGCTGCGGGCGATGCTCCCGGCGCGAAGGGGCTGCAGAGCCAGAGAGCGGTGGCCGCACGTGGTGCCTCCTCTGGCTGCTCCTCCTCTACCCCTCCTCTTCCTCCCGCTCCTCCTCCTCCATCCTCGGCTGCGGGTGAGGAGCTCTGGGGTGAGCGGAGCGGGCACGGGACCCGGTGGAAAGGGGTGGGAGAGGGGGATAGGGGGAGGTGGGACGGGGGGAAAGGCGTTCTCGATGAGGGGCTCACAGTTAACCCCAGGACCCCCAAATCCCCTCCCTGTCCTCCCAGCCCCTCCCGGCGCTGTGGGGGCCGTGCCGTGCCCCAGTGCTGGCTCAGGGGTGCTCCACCTGGCAGCTGCAGGTGACCCCACTCTTAGGGCAGTTTCCAGCAGCACCAGGAGCTGGTGGGTCCAGGGGAAGAATCCCTGAGTTTTGGGATTTTTGGGGTGCAGTTTTGGAGAAGGACAGCTCTGTCTGGCTTTCCCCTTCCCGCTGTGACCCCTCATCTGCCCCAGGCACCCTGGGGGTGCTGGGATTTCCCTCCTGGGGACAAGGACGTTCATCCCCTTCCAGAAGCCCAATGCCCGGCTGTGGCTCCAGGTCAGGGGGTCCTTGAGCAGCTGCCCCAGAACCTCCCCAGGGTCTCCCAGCACAGCCAGAGCTGCTCGGCCTGGGATCCCCAAAGGCCTCAGCAAGCCCCAAGTCCCTCCCAGAAACCCTCAACTCCCTCAAACCCAGCATCCCCCACATCCCCTGCAAGTTCCCCCCATGGCACTGGCCATGGCCATGTCCCCACTTGTCACTGGCCATGTCCCACAATGTCCTCACCCATGGCTGTCTCCCCACCATGTTTCCATCCCTGTCATTGACCCCCACATCTCCATCCATGCCTGAGTCCACCCATGTCCCCTGGTAAAAACATGAGAGCTGCTGTAGCACATAAGAGGAGGAACAGTATTCATTTAACCCATGGTCTGCCAGGGAGCCACGAAACCGTGTCCCATTCCCATCCTTTCCACATTTGGGTCATAATAGGAGGTGCTTTCTTATTTCCTTTGTTATCTATTTCTCTACTTTTCCATTGCCATCTATTTGCAAACAGCCATTTGGGTAATTTAATTTTTCACAAACTCCTCCTTTTTCTGCTAACAGCTAATCTGATCCCATCCCCTGGTGAAATGTTGTGTTCCTCATTTCAGTGGATTGGTCAGCAGGAAAGTCAGGAGCTGGATCTGTCTGGGTGGTTATTATTTTGAGGACAGCTTCTAATCTAATGATGCCATTGAAATGATAAATGGGTACTGTGGCTCCTGATATGAATTGGTTGGGGTTCCCAGGAGCTGGTCCATGGTGTTGTAGGATTTGTTGCGGTGGCTGTTCATCTTTTCCCCATTTTTTGGGTGCTCCTTCCAGCCAGGGCTGCATCAATTGTCTGCTTTTCTGTAATTTGAACATCAAATACTTGGATTCCAAACTGATTTTGCTGAACTTGTGGTAGCAAGAGCACCCCAGTGTTCTAATACATCCTATACAGCATAGACAGTGACAGCTCCTGTTGCAGTGGGCAGAGGGATGATTCCCCCCGGACTTTTTTTAGTGAAGTTTTCACAACGTTCTTCATTTGCTGTTTTCCTTTGCAGCTGAACCCATTTGTGTTGCAGAGTCAGATATCCTCACCATGGGCTCTGCCTTGAGCTGTGCAAATTCCATCAGCGGAAGCGGGCAGAGCTTGGGGTGAGGGGCAGAGGGAATTCCTCCCCCAGCAGTGTTAATTTGCATTTCTAAAGCTCCTCTCCTGGTTGCCAGGAATGAAGCTTCTCTTCCAGAGCCATCCTGTGACCCCGCTAAAAGCTACTTTTTTTTTTTTAAACAATGCAGTATTAACTTTTTACCAGTTTAAAGGTCAACTTTAAAGCTCTTCTAGTTTTTCAAAATGAAGCCTAAAGTTGAATGTCAAAGAAGTCATAACAAAATTTTGCCATCACAACAGCCATACACACACATACACAAACAAATCGACGCCATAAAGACTTTTTTCTACTTCTCCTACGACTGAAAACTGACTCTCACACCCCTGGCCCAACACCCCTAATCTAACTGGCAATATAATGGTAGCATTATTAAGAAAAAACATTCTAGTCGTGTAATCTTGTCATCGAAACTGCAAGAAGAACCAAAATTCTTCAACAATATTTCTGGTGTTACAGAATCAATGCATTAATTTATTCTGGCCAGGATGTGCAACAGAAATAATTTCATCCACACATAGACTGAGTGTGAAGAGAAAATCATTCCATGATTTGGGTGACATGTGGGTTTTACTAGATTTATCCTTAACTTTTAACCGTCCAAAACCTATTGAAATTATTTATTGTTCACTGCTTCCAAGTTGCCGAGTTCTTATTTTGCATTTAGTTTCCTATTGGACCCGGATTTCTTCCCCTCTGCTGTTCATTAGGTCCACACTGGTGGATTTCCTTCTCAGCCTTTTCCAGAGCAGGTGTCTCCAGCTCTGCCGGGGGCAGTGTCTGGGGTAGCTGTTGGTTGCTGTTTGCTGCTGGGCGTTGATGTTTTGTTGCTGGTTGTTATCTCTGTGGGTATCTTTTGGGCTGTGGCTACTGGCGGCCCTGCCCGGGGCTGCTGGGGTCAGGCAGCGCCCGGCGCTGAGCCCCGGCTGCCCCACAGCCCCGGCCCGGCCCCGCAGCTCCCCACAGGCCCCCAGCCCGTGCTCCCGGTGCCGCAGCTCTGCGCCCGCTGCTGCCGCTGCCCAGCACAGAGAAACCCCCTGACATGCTCACCTCCTTGTTTGCCTCTCCTGGAAACCGGGGATAGAAAGAACCTGCAGCTGGCCTATTTTGAGCATAAGATGAAGGAAAGTGCTGTAAAAACATCCCAATCCTCAGTATTTTTCTCTTCCTCCTCTTTTCCCTCTTCCCTTCTCACACAGATTCCTCCTGCTGCTTCCTGCCTTAATCATATTGCTGCACACTCCCCTTCACCCAGTCCCTTCCCAGCACATCAACACCATCCATCCCCTGTTGTCCAAATCCCTTCTCCACTTCTGTGTCCCCGTGCATGTCCATGTCTTTCATTACCTCTGGCAGAATATGCAAACTCAACATTCTCCCCAACATTCTCCCATTTTGTACAACATAGGGTATTTACGGGTCTGTTCAATCTTTTTCTTCTTCACAAAGTTCAGGAATTTAGCAGGATCTTCTTGGCTGAGCAACAGTTCCTGTTGATTAATGACATTTTCTGAAACTGACGGTTTCTCTTGTCACTTCCTTATCTACAAGTCTCTTGCTCTATCTCAAAGGAGATTCACACCATTTTATTGTAGACAGTTGCATCTCATTATTTTCAACACGATGGGAAAGGGGGGGAGAAGCTATAAAAGGGCATTTAGGACACCAAAATTGTGAGGGAGAGGGGAGGGTCAGCCCCAGACTGAGCCAGAGGGAAGCTGGGATTTAGAGGGATGATGGAAAAGGGATAGGAGAGGTGGATAACAGGAGGGGGGACAGCAGGAAAGGGGTTCCATGGAGGTCACTTTGTGTCCCCATCATTCAATCTCTGGAGCAATTCTCCAGGGCTGTGGGAGGGGATGGAGCCGCACTGGGGGGTTCCCCAAACCCCTTGTCCATCCTTGGGGAGCTCTTTGGGGCGGTTTCCCCACCCAGCCACGGTGCTGTGGCAGCTGTGGGGCAGAGAGGGGTGGGAAAGGGGGATTTGGGGTGGGCACAGAGGAAGAGAGGAGAAGGAAGAGCAGGAAGAGGAGCACAAGTTTCCATCCTGCTGGTGACTAGGGAGGGGGAGCTCACCCCAAATGTATCAGGGAGTCCTCCAGACGAGTTCTACTGGGGGAAGTGTTTGGACTTTGCAGATTCCAGAATCAAGACCCAAATATCTTTGTGGTCCCTGGGAGGATTTGTTTTTTCTGGGGCAATATTTGGATCTTGAAGGACCCCAAAGCTGAGTCTCAGATCCCCCTTTGGGGGATATTTAGGGGTCCTCATGGCAATCACCAGGTACTGGTGGGGGGAGGACATCACTCATGAGGACCTCTCCAGAAGAGCAGTGGAGTGGAACCTCAAGACCCCTGGAGTGGGAAAAGTTGAGAGGAGAGGGGTGATTCCAGAGTTGGGTGAGATCCAGCAGCCTGAAGGGGGGAGGGAAGGGCCTGGAGTGTGGGGACCCCTGAAATCCTGGAGCAGAGAATCAGGGGAGAAGAGACCCATGGGACCCTCAAAATCCCCTGGGTCATCTGTAAGCAAGACCCCAGAGAGGGGGAACCTCAGGAGCCTCAGGACTCCCATCAGCTCAAGGAAAAGAAACCACCAAACCCCAGATTGGAGAGACAAGAGGGGCTGATATCCTATGAGGGTTATTTTGGGAGCTGAATCATAATGCTTCGCAGATTTTTATGTACCCAGAACCCCTGAAGACTTCCAGAAATATCCTCTGCAGGAGGAACCTGCAGCCCAAGGTTCTCACCCTTTGTTTTTTCCCCAAACCAGGATTTGTTGTTCCCAAGCCTTGGGTGGATGGAGAATGAAAAGCCCCAGAGATCCCCCACAAGGAGGGGCTGCAAACCCAGCCCAGGGAGCTGCAGGGAGCAAAGAGCCCCCCTGAGCCAGGAAGGCGGCCAGAGATCCAGGCAGAGCTCAGAGCTGGTGGAGAAGCCTCATGGCAAGGAGAAGCCCCACGAGTGCTTGGAATGTGGGAAGGGTTTCAAGTACAGCTCCCGTCTGAGGGAGCACCAGGTTATCCACACAGGGGAAAAGCCCTACAAGTGTGGGGAATGTGGGAAGGGCTTCAGAAAGAGCTACAACCTCATCAGCCACAGCAAGATCCACACTGGGGAAAGACCCCACACCTGCCTGGAATGTGGGAAGACCTTTGGGCGGAGCTCCAGCCTGAGGGAGCACCAGATGTTGCACACTGGGGAGAGGCCCTTCGAGTGTCCTGAGTGTGGGAAGAGGTTCCTGAGGCCATCCCGTCTCCTCCTGCATCAGCGCATTCACACCAAGGAGAGGCCTTTCTGCTGCCCTGACTGCGGGAAGAGCTTCAAGCACAACTCCACCCTCCTGAAGTGGCGTCTCCACAGCGGGGAGAGGCCCTACGAGTGCCCCGAGTGCAGGAAGAGCTTGGTGCGCGGCTCCAGCTCCACCCCACATGGAGGATCCACACTGGATGATCCCCAGTGACCCCCTGGTGATCCCTGTTCTGGGTGATCTCCAGTGGGTGGGAGGAAGTTGTTGGAGAGATTTCTTCTCCTTGTGCTGCTGTGATTTGGTTGGCAATAAATTCACTCCCTGCACCCAGGCTGGGTCTGTTGTGCCCTTGCTGGTGCTCAGGGTGGGATCTCTCCTGTTCCTTCTCAGCTCCTGGGCCTTTCCTTGTGTTTCCTCTCCCTGTGCAGCTGCAGAGGGCAGGGACAGAGCAGTTTTGGTGTCCATTCACGTCCAGGCAAGACCAGCCCAGCCCCAGGAGTTCTGAGGGGCTTGTGGGGCTCCCCCCTGCCGGAGGAGGGTGTCCCCCCTTGCTGCAGCCCCAGCCCTCAGGCAGCGCTCAGCCAAGCAGAGAACAACCTCAGCTGGGGCCTCACTTTGGGAACACCTGAGCCCCTGGACATCTCCATCCCCATTCGGGGGTGCATCTGGGCTCTTGGATATTTGGGACCCCATTTTTTGGGATGTATTGGGTTTGTATGGATTGGTTATGGTAGTGGGGTGGGCTCTGAGAAGCTGCTGGAAGCGTCCTCAGTGTCCAACAGAGCCAATCCCTGGTGGTTCTAAAGACGGAGGTTCTGGATGCAGAGATCCCCCCACGGTCCCTGGAGCAGCCCCCTGGCACAGGGGGGTGCCTAAGAGGAGGCTGTGACCCCGTGTGAGCCCCGCGGACAAGGCAGGACTCACCTTGTGGCAGACTGACCTCCGGGGCTGCAGCAGGGTGAGCGGGCTGCTGCTGGTGGGATGGACTCACATCAGAGCCGGGCACTGCTGGGGGTTTGGGTTTCTCTGGGAGTTTTTGTCCCATTTGTCACCCGGAAAGACACCAGGAGCAGCAGGGGGTGACAGCCACGGGTGGCTGAGATGACAAAGGGCTGGCTGCTGGCTCTGGCTCAGGCCTGAAATCGTTTGGGGGAGGGCAGGGGTGCAGGGCTCGGGCAGTTTGGGGTGTCGGGCGCTTTGCTCCTGGATTGTCCTGCCCGTGCCCGCTGCTCCTGGGGCACAGAGAGGGGCCCGAGCATGTCACCTCAAAACTTCCCTGGGAATCGTCCCAGAGCCCTCAGCCTTCCTTGTGCCCATCCCTGCGGCCTCTTGTCTGTCCCAGTGGCTCCCGTGGCTCTCCCACTCCATTCCCAGTCCATCCCAGTCTCTCCCAGTGCCCCCGGCGTGTCCATCTCAGCCGTGCGTGGTACTGCCGCCCATCAGCCAATCAGGATGCGTGTCTCTGATGACTCATCCGTTGCCAGGCAGACCCGCAGCGCCGAGTGCCCCGCTCCGGGCTCGGCCTCCCAGTGCCGCGCGCGTCATTCCCAGTTCCTCCCAGCGTCCACAAACTCCCTCCCAGTCCCTCTCATCTCATTCCCAGTACACCGCCAGTCCATTCTCAGACCTCATTTCACTTTGAGACCTTCACCCTCGGTCTCAGTGCTCCCCAGTTCTCGCAGTGCACTCCCACTCATTCTGAATGCCACACCACCCGTCCCCCGACTCTCCCAGTTCCCCCCAGCTGCTCCCAGTGTGTCCCTGCTCTCTCCCAGTGCCCATCCCACCGTGTCCATCTCGCTGGTGCCCTCGGGCTCCCAGCCCAGCCCCGGCCGCCTGCTCTGCTCCGTGATGGATTTCTACCCTGCCCACATCCAGCTGAGGTGGTTCCAGGGCCAGCAGGAGCTCTCTGTGCTGGCCACCGATGTGGTTCCCAGTGGGGACTGGAGCCACCAGCTGCTGGTGCTGCTGGAAACTGCCCCCAGTGTGGGGTCACCTGCAGCTGCCAGGTGGAGCACGTCAGCCTGGAGTACCCCTGAACCAGCACTGAGGCACAGGGGGGGCACTGGGGGTGCTGGGAGGGGGATTGGGTTGTGCTGGGAGCAACTGGGAGGGAGTTTGAGAAGGAGTTTAAGGGAGTTTGAGGGAGACGAAACCTGGCTTAAACTGGGAGAGGGGCTCAGGGGTCTGGAAGGGTTGAGAAGGAGTTTGAAGGATGTTGGGGAGGGTGGGATGGGGTTCCAGGGGTCATGGTGGGAATTGGGAAGGAAGTTTGGGGGGTGCTGAGTGTAACTGGGAGGGATTTGAATGAGCCTGGAGGGGCTAGAATGACATATGGGATGCAAAAGTGGGGTTCGGAATGAGGATGTTTATGCTGGGAAGGAACTGGAAGACGTCGTGGTGAGCCCTGGTGGGGCTGGGAAGGGATTGGGAGAGAGTTTGGGAGTCCTGGGGCGGAAGGGGGCGGCAATTGGGAGCGTGCTTGGGGTGCCTGTGTGAGGTTTTGGGGGTGGACGTGGCTGAACGGCTGCTGCGTGGACAGGCACCGGTGAGCACTGGGGGCCAAGGGGGACACCCCACTGTCCCCCGAGGGACGCCCGGGGGAAAGTCAGGTTTCAGATGGACCCCAGGGAGCAACCGGGAGATTGTGGGGTGATCAGTGGCAACAGAATCCTTCCTCAGGACTGCGGCTCGGCTTCGCAGTGGCTCTGTCAGGGAGAAACCCCCAAACTCTGACCTGGGGGCAGGAGAGATGCTCAGGTGGGGATGTGGGGGCCAGGTGGCTCATGCGGGAGCCAGCGGGGGAGGATGTGGGAACTGCTGTCGCTGCACAACAACTTGCACAAATTACGTTTCCTGGCTCTGCTCTCTGCTGCGTTCAAACCACGTCATGAACAAAGAGCAAAACTCCCCCAAATGGGATTTCCTCGGCTGCAAAGCTCGGCGAGGCTGAGCTTTTTTTATCCAAACCAGTCCTTCTGAGTCCTTTCGCTGGAATCCGCCCCAAGGCATCAATCACGAGATCATCAGCCACGACCTCAGAGCGGGGCTGTAACACGAAATTGGCATCAAAGGCTCCCCGGGGATCGGACACTGCAGGCAGCCCCAGCCTCCTCTTCTTCCTCCTCTTCCTCCGGACGGGATCGAGCCCCCGCTCCTGCCCGGCTCCTTGTGCCGCTCCTGCCCGGCACGAACCTGCCCCGCACCTCAGGGTGAGCCCTGGAGTGACCGCACGGGTGGGGAGGGACCGCTGAACAGGGCAGGGACCGAACCCGTGTGGAGCTGAGCTGTCACCTTGAAACGAGGGAATCCAACGTGGGTGCTGGGACTTCTGTAATCTCAAGGTGTTACTTGGTACTCGACACTTCAGTTTTGGCAATAAGAGGCCCTTCAGCAGCAATGTTTCTCCCAGCCATTGGTTTCTGGCTCGGAATCAGCTTGAAACACGGACAAGAAATCCAAAGTCCCAGCAGAAAAAGTTCTGCCGTTACTTTTTATTTTTCACAATTATATTATGTCATATTATATTATAATTATATATATATTTTTTTTTTTTTATTTTATATCAGATACGTTTAACTTTTTTTTCTTTTTCTATAATCCCATGTTCATTCTCTATTTACCTCCTCACCTGCTGCTGCTCCAGTGCCATCAGGCCCTGGCTCAAAGGGAAAGCACAAAACCCTCTGGAAATAAAGCTGGTCTGGGGGAAAACCCTGCAGGGGGGGATTGAATCCCATGGACAGTGCTGGCTGAGAGCTGGAGATTCCAAATGCTCCAAGGGGCCAGAGGGAACTGTGCTGGGGCCTCGAAGCCTCCCTGGGGGCACCTCCAAGACTCCCGAGCAGAGCGACCCCTCCCACCCTCCAAAATCTGCAGGTCTGGGTCAGCTGAGGAAAAGAGCTGGAAAAGGGACTGGAAAGGGGATGGAGCTTGAGAGGACCCCTCAGCCATCACCCGGAAAGAAGGGGCTTTCTGCAGGAAAGCCATAGGGAAATCGTCCAGAAACCAAGACAATAATGATGAATTTTTAAACTCTTTCTACTCCTGTTTCCAGAAGGTCCCAGCCGGGTCCTGCTGGGAGGAGCTGGAGGTGGGGAGGGGGCTCAGAACCAAATCGGGGAGAAAAGTTTAATTGGGGCGAGGGAACTTTTATTGTGGGGAGAAAATGTAAATGGAGGGGATTTGAATGGGAGGGGATGACTTGAATTGGGGAGAGAAAATGAAGTTAGGGCAGGAGCCCCCCAGCCCTCAGCCGTGTCCTGAAGGTGCTGCCAGTGGTTCTGCCCCTGCTGTTCCCCAGGAATGTCACAGGATGGAAACTCCATTCAAGCTTTTATGTTCCCAGTCACTCCCAGCAAGATCCCAGTTGCCCCCAACATGGTCCCAGTTTCTCCCAGTCAGGCCCTGTATGGTTCCTTCCAATCTCAGTCCCTCCCAGTAGCAGTCCAGTACGACCCCAGTCACTTCCAGTATGAACCCAGTCACTCCTAGAATGGCATTTTCCCATATCATGGTCCCAGTTACTCCAGTCATGATCCCAGTATGAGTCCAGTCACCCCCAGTATGATCCCAGTAACTTCCAGACACTCCCAGTATGAGTCTGATTTAATCCCAGTATGATCCCAGTCACACACAGATACTCCCAGTATTATTTCCGTCACTCCAGGTACGACACTCTCAGTCCCACTATTACCCCAGCATGGGCCAGTTGCTCCCAGTGTGATTCCAGTTGCTCCTGCATTTTTCCAATTGCGCTTTTCCTCCACTACTATAGTTCCAGTCACCCACAGTATGATTCCAGTCAGACCCAGTATGATCCCAGTCATGCCCAGTATATCCCAACAGCAGCCAGTTGCCATCAGCATGCTCCCAGTAGCCTTCAATGCGGTCCCAGTATATCCCAGTACGATCCCTGCTGCCCCAAATCTGGTCCCGCTGGGTCCTGGTCCTGGTATGTCCTGGTGTCCCAGTCTGCCCAGTCCATCCCAGCCTGTCACATTCCGTGGGACCCTCCTGGGCAGCCGTGGCCGTTTCCGGGATCCTGCCACGAGCAGCCACCGAAAGCTGCCCCAAGATGCTGACGGGGATCAGGGCTCTGTGTTGGGGTTCGTTTTCCTGGAGCTGGGGCTCGGCTTCTCCCTGTGCAAGAAGGTGAAGGGGGGGTCCCGGGGGTCGTGTCCCCCCTCCCCCGGAGAGTGTGTGCTCCCCCCGGGGCCCCCAGCCCGGTGTCACCCCCTTTTCTCTGCCCGCAGAGCTCCCGAGCCGCTGCCGGCTGCAGCCCCTCCCCGTGGCCTCGGGCCTGGCCAGGACCCCCCACTCTGTCCCCAAACTGATTTTGGGGGTCCCGTGTCCCCCCAGCCCCGCTGAGGCGGCGTTAGGAGGAGCGCGAGGACCGGCAGAGAAAGAGACATGGGAAGAGCGGGACAAAGAAGAGGGAGAGAGGAAGAGGAGGAGCAGGAAACAGAAGAGGAAGAGGAAGAGGAAGAGGAAGAGGAAGAGGAAGAGGAAGAGGAAGAGGAAGAGGAAGAGGAAGAGGAAGAGGAAGAGGAAGAGGAAGAGGAGGGAATTCTCGATTCCGGCGCCCGCTGTGTCCGCAGCGCTTTGGCCCCTGGAGCATCTCCCCCAGTCCCCCCGCAGGTGAGCAGGGAGGGGAGGCTCCCCCCAGATATGGCGGGGGTTCCTGGCGGGTTTTCTGGGGTTGTGGGTATTTGGAGCTTGGAGGAGCCCAAAGCTAAACGCAAATGCCCCTTGGTGGATAATGGGGGTTTTTCCTTGGGGAATGGGGAGGGGCGCAGGTGGTTGCTGCCGGCAGAGCGCGGGTTGGGGGTTGTGGGATCCTCGGATCATCCCTAAGCAAGATCCTGGAGGGGGGACAGCAGGACCCACGGGACCCCCGTCAGCCCAGGAAGGGGGACTCGCGAAACACCAAAGTGTGAAGATTACAGAGGGGGAACTCCTGGCAGGGTATTTTGGGCTGAATCTTGGTAGTTTGAAGAGTTTTAGAGACACAACATGCCTGATAACTTCCTGAGATGGTCTTTGGTCAGGAGAAACCCCCATCCCAAGGCACTCAGCCCTTGTTTCTCCCCCAAACCAGGATTTGTCCCAAGCTGTGGCTGGATGGAAGAGGAAGAAAAGCCCTGGAGATCCTGCACGAGGAGGGGCTGCAAACCCAGCCCAGGGAGCTGCGGGGAGGAAAGAGCCCCCCTGAGCCAGGAAGGCGTCCAGAGATCCAGCCAGAGCTCAGAGCTGGTGGAGAAGCCTCATGGTGGGGAGAAGCTCCACAAGTGCTTGGAATGTGGGAAGGGCTTCAGCCAGAGCTCCAACCTGATCCGGCACCAGGTGATCCACACTGAGGAACGGCCCTACACCTGCAAGGAATGTGGGAAGAGCTTCAGACAGAGCTCCCACCTGACTTGGCACCAGGTGATCCACAGCGGGGAAAAGCCCTATGAGTGCTTGGAATGTGGGAAGAGCTTCAGGTGGAACTCTGACCTCAACAAGCACCACAAGATCCACACTGGGGAGCAGCCCTATGAATGTAGGGAATGTGGGAAAAGCTTCAGCCAGAGCTCCAGACTGGTTCAGCACCAGACAATCCACCCTGGGGAACGGCCCTATGAGTGCTTGGAATGTGGGAAGCGTTTCAATCGCAACTCCCACCTCATCAGGCACCTGCGCTGCCACACTGGGGAGCGGCCCTACAAGTGCTCGGAGTGTGGGAAGAGCTTTAGGCGCAGCTCCAGCCTGAACGTCCACCGGCGCATCCACACCGGGGAGAAGCCCTATGAGTGTCCTGAGTGTGGGAAGAGGTTTCGGAGCACCACAAAACTCCTCCAACATCAGCCAACACACACAGAGGAGAGGCCCTTCCACTGCCCTGACTGTGGGAAGGGCTTCACCCGCAACTCCCACCTTGTCAGCCATCAGTGCATCCACGCCAGGGAGAAGCCCTACAAGTGCTTGGAGTGTGTGAAGGGCTTCAGCACAAGCTCTGACCTGATCCAGCACCAGAACATCCACACTGGGGAATGGCCCTGTAAGTGTGAGGAATGTGGGAAGAGCTTCAACCGCATCTCCAACCTCAACACACACCTCAAGATCCATACTGGGGAACAGCCTTACAAATGTGGGGAATGTGGGAAGAACTTCAGGCGGAGCTCCCACCTCATCAGCCACCAGAAGATCCACACTGGCAAACATGAATGGCCATATGAGTGCTCAGAATGTGGGAAGAGCTTCAGCACAAGCTCTGACCTCATTAAGCACCAGATGATCCACACTGGGGAGCGACCCTATGAATGTGGGGAGTGTGGGAAGAGCTTCAGCCAGAGCTCCAACCTCATTCGCCACCAAACAACCCACACCAGGGAACGGCCCTACAGGTGCTTGGAATGTGGGAAGGGCTTCAACCGCAGCTTCCACCTCATCAGGCACCAGCGCATCCACACCAGGCAGAGGCCCTGAGTTTGGGAAGAGCTTCTCACAGAGCTCTCACTTGACCCAACACCAACGGAGGCACCACTAAGGGGAGCCCTGTGAGTGCCCCGAGTGCAGGAAGAGCTTCATGTGCTGCTCCAGCTCCATCCCCCATGGGAGGATCCGCGTTGGATGATCCCCAGTGACCCCTGTTGGGCAGAGCCCTGGTGACCCCATTCCGGGTGATCCCTGTTGGGTGAGGTGAAGGTGTTGGAGAAATATCTTTCCCTTCTTCTTGTACTGCCGTGATTTGGTTGGTAACAAATTCCCTCCCTGTGCCCAGGCTGGGTCTCTGATGCCCATGCCACTTTTGATGAGGGATCTCTCCCAGTCTTATCCCAGTCCAGGAACTCTTGGTTAAATTTTCTCTCCCCTGTGCAGCTGCGGGGAGCAGGGACAGAGTGGCTTTGGCGGGTGGCTTACATCAGGGCAGTGTCACCCATGGACACCCCTGAGATCCCACTGTGGTTCTGCATTGCCCCCTCCTCATTCCCAGGCTGCAGTGTGACCTGAGAAATGTTTGTTTGGTCTCGTCCTTGGAAACAGTATCTGGGTTTTGCTCTTTCCAAGCTTATCAGAAATGATGTCTGCTCCCAGGAATTGCTAAAAGGCTCCTGTTTTCCTTATGGCCATCCTTGGAAAATATTCCTCTTGCCTAAATGGCACAACATTCCTTTCTCACACTTTTAGAGGCAGTGCCAAGCCAAACTGTGGCTGGGATGAAACATCGTTGTGACTGAAGCCCACTCTCTTCTGACCCTATCATAGTGATCCAAAAGGAGACCTTTTGAGCTCTCCTGGGCCACCATGGGCTGTGACCAGCAATCTCCCTCTGAGGGAGCATCTCCGAGCCATCAAACCCTCGGGTTTGCTCTGCCTGCAGGATCACCAAAACACGGCATGTCCTGGGCTGATACCCTCACTCCTCAAAGCCCCATCCTTCACCCAGCAGGAGATGCAAAAGCATCTGAAGGGAGGATTTCACCGACCTTTGAGGGGAATTTTTCACAGGTACCTTGCTTTCACTGACTGTTTCTGTTTGTGTGCATGCCCCTGCACATATGCTATAGGAAATCTGGGAGAAATACTGCTTTCTTAGATGTGTAAGTACCTTGGATATCTAAGTTAGCCTGTAGCAAGGTTCAGTTATAGTTATGAACTTACTTAAATGCTGCCAAGTGTTGTTCTTTTGCTAAGTTGTTAAACATAAGTTAGAAGTTAAGTGTTGTTTTTCTGTTAAGTTGCTAAGTAGAATGTGGAAGTTACAGCTGTAAGTTAGGTTAAATGCTAAGTGTTATTGCTCTGTTGAATTGCTAGCCCTAAGGTATAAGTCAAATTATAAATTAAAGTAGAAATTAAAGTGCTGCTCAGTGTTGTTTTTAGGCTGTGTTCCTTTTAATCCCTGCCTGCACTGTCTTTTCTACCATGCACCTAACACAACACACACCCACTCACTCTCTTAAGAGAGTTCTCAGTGCATTTCTGGTTTGGTTGTCTGGATTTTGTTTGGCTTTTTTGTTGCTTGTTTTCCCTTGTTGTGCCTTAGCTGTCGTATAGGCAGTAGAGTGAATCTTGCCAATGAACTTGTGCTTTGTTGCTAAACATTAAACCTGACTTTTGCTCATGCCCTTGCCACTGATTTTTAAGCAATCTCAAACACTCTCATTCATTACAGCCCCACAATGTCCCACATCACCGAGGGCCCTGACACGGGCCCGTGTCACAAAGTGCCACACCCGGCACCCAACAAGAGAGGGACAGAGTGGAATGGGCACGGGGCAGCCCCGGCCTTGTGGCCTTGTAGCCCCTGCAGTGCCCAGAACCCTGGGAGGCTTTGGCCACTGTCACCATTGAGTCAGGAACGGGTAATAAGTGGCACAAACTCTGGGTCAGAAGGCTAATAACAATTTTATTAGGAACCCATTCCTTTTAATACTCTATTCTGACACAGGCAGACCTGATTGGTCCTGTAATCAACAGGTTGGTAGTAAATTCACTCTCTGTACCCTGGCTGGGTCTGTTTTGCCTGTACCAGGGCTCAGGGCGGGACCTCTCCTTTTCCTTCTCTCAGCTCCTGGGCCTCTCCTTTGTGTTTCCTCTCCCTGTGCAGTTGCAGAGGGCAGGGACAAAGCAGTTTTTGTGGCTCCCAGCTTCCAGGCAGAGTCAGCTGAGCCCTGGGTGTTCAAAGGGGTTTGTAGAGCTCCCCTGTTTGTGGGACATCACCATTGAAGGAGCGTGTCCCCCCGTGCTGCAGCCCAAGCCCTCAGGCAGCGCTCAGCCCATCAGAGAACACCCTCAGATGTGGCCTCATTTTTGAGCACACCTGAGCCCCTCAAAATCTTTATCCCCATTTTGGCTTAACCTGAGCTCCTGGACATCTCAGACCCCATTTCTGAAGCTATTTTGGGTATGCAAGTCCTGGTTTTGTTAGCAGGGAGGGTTCAGGGCTGGGTTTTGAGAGAAGCTGCTGGAAGCTTCCTTCATGTCCCACAGAGTCAATCCGTGGTGCCTCCAACAATGGAGATGCTGTGGGGGTCGGAGGTGAGAAAGCCATGTCAGGAATGCCCTGGGAAAGCACCATTGTCTGTCAGGGGAAATTCATTCCTTTCCCATGGTTCAAATGCTGTACTCCCTTTCACATCCAGCTCATCCTGTACCCTTGGTATCTTTCACTAGTTACTCCTGTAAAAACTTTTCCCCTCCTATCCCCTTTGACATGTAGCTGTGCACAAAACCTGTAACTTTTCCCCAAAGATGTGGCACTCGCCCTGGTGTCCTTCTGCTGGTTGTTATCCGTCCCTGCTGTCCCTCAGCCTATCCTCCGTGTTTTCCTATCCCTTTTGGACCCTGCAATAAATCAGTTGAAATTATCCAGGACTCGAGCTGCCCTCCTTCTATCTGGTGAAGAGAAACATCTAGCCAGGGTTGCACAGATGAAAATCCCGACCCCAGCAGTTGGCATCTCGGAACAGGGACTCTGGACTCTGCCTCCTTTGTCCTGGAGAGCGTCTCCTGAAAACCGAAAGTTCTGCAAGCAGCCATATTTGGGAAATAAGCGCCGTTCTGAGCCAACCCTTTGAGAGTGAAGCTTTCATTGAAGGAAGACATCTCCCCGAGGCCGCAGCGACGACCACCAGACATCTGTGAGTTTTCACAGCGACCTGAGACAGCAGGTTTTCCACAAGCTGACAGATCACTGTGCTCCACCAGCTTTTTCTGAGGACTTTTCGCAGGCAGCGTGTTATATTTGTTCCGGTATGGTGAGTTCCCAACAAAGTACAGCATTGGAACCATGGGAAAGGAATTAATTTCTCCTGACTTAGACAATGGTGCTTTCCCAGGGCATTCCTGAGATGGCTTTCTCACCCCCAGCCCCCACAGGGGTGCAGCATTTGGCCACTCTTATTGCTGAGACACTGGCAGCCTGGTGGGGGTGAGTCGTGAGAACAAAGACCCCACCCCATGGGCTGGGTCTGGGCCACTTGGGCTGTCCCCCCACCTTTGACCCCCTCCCCACCTCGGCCTGGGCCACCACTCCAGGGGACGGGTCTGGTTTCCTTGGCCTGCCCAACAAGGAGTGGCTCAGGGACATAGGAACAGACATAGGAACAGGGGAAGGAGCCAGTGGGGTCTAACAGCTTTTTGAGTGAAGCTTCTTGTGTCTCCTAAAAACCAGGGAATGCTCCCCCAGGGTGTCCACACTGGCAAGTGGAGGTGACCCCACACCAGGGGAGATTTCCAGCAGCACCAGGAGCTGGTGGGTCCAGTCCCCTTTGGGGATCACATTAGGGGCCAGCATGTGCCCCAAGAGCTCCTGCTGGTGCTGGAACCACCTCAGCTGCACCTGTGCAAGGTGAAAATCCATCACAGAGCAGAGTAGGCAGCTGGGGCTGGCCTGGGAGCTTCAGGCATCAGTGAGGTGGGCATGCTGGGGGGCACTGGAAAAGAGCAGGGAGACATGGGGGGTATGAGGAGAAAGAGGGTGTAGGGCTGTTGTGGCACTGAGAGGAACTGGGAATGGAATGGGGTGGCACCAAGAGTGAGTGGAGCAGGCTGGGGAGCACTGAGAGGGCAGGGGCAGATCTAAGTGAACTGAGAAGGAATGAGAATGAACTGGTAAGGGACTGGAAATTTACTGGGAGGGAATCCTAGGGACTGGGAGTAAACTGAGCAGAATAGATGGGGACTTGGATGGTCTGGATGAGAACTGGAAGGGACTGGACAGGGGACAGATGGAGAGCACTGGCAGGGGCAGGGAATGAAGTGAGAAGCGCTGGGAGTGTGAGGATCTCTGCATTCCCATGGATCTCTGTGGAGGGCCAAAAATGAGACATCACACCATGATCAATGCGATCAAATGAAGCAAATTGATTGCTCAAATAGGTTACATTTATATCATGTTCTACTGTTCACGTGCCCTAAACTAATACATGATTGGTTAAGTCTATCTGTGCACACGTCTCAAGCTGTCAGCTAATTGGTTAGTTTTCTTTCTTCGTGTGCTCTGCTGTGGCTTTTAGCTCTGTCTTCATGTCCTGCCTTACATCCTGGACTTGTTTACTTCTGAGTAGGCTCTTCCTCTTCCATGTCCTCAAGGCCACTGCAAACTTCTACTCAGTCTTGATGAAGGCTGGCTTGTGCACATGTCCATTGTTCTGCAAGAAACCCTCAAGAGATCTCCAGGGACTTTGGGAGGGATCTCTGCATCCAGCACCTCCATCTTTGGAACCACCAGGGAATTGCTCTACTGGACATGGAGGAAGCTTCTAGTAGCTTCTCTCAGAACCCACCCCTGGAGCACCCCCACTACAAAAAACAGGCTGTGCAAACTCAAAACAGCTTTAAAAATGGGCTTCCAGATATTCAGGAACTCAGGTGAACCCCACGATGGGTATGAACTTGTCCAGGGGCTCAGGTGTGCCCAGAAATGAGGCCACATCTGAGAGTGTTCTCTGCTTGGCTGAGCGCTGTCTGAGGGCTGGGGCTGCAGCAAGGGGGGACACCCTCCTCCAGCGGGGATGTCCCACAAACAGGGGAGCCCCACAAGCCCCTCGGAACCCCAGAGCTGGGCTGGTCCTGCCTGGAAGCTGGGAGCCACCAAAACTGCTCTGTCCTTGCCCTCTGCAATGGCACAGGGAGAAGAAATACAAGGAAAGGGCCAGGAGTGCAGAGAAAGACTGGGAGAGATCCCACCCTGAGCACCAGCATGGCAAAACAGACCCAGCCAGGGTACAGGGAGTGAATTTACTACCAACCAAATCACAGCAGGACAAGGAGAAGGGAAAGAAATCTCTCTAACACCTTCCCCCCACCCAATGGGGATCATGCAGAACGAGGATCACCAGAGCTCTTCCCAACAGGAGTCACTGGGGATCATCCACTGTGGATCCTCCAGTGGGAGACTGAAGCAGCACGCTTCAACGAGTCCCAGAGAGCAACCTGGGCTTTCAAGGCCCGGGGCACACTTGCTAAAGGAGCTGGTGAAGGAGGGAAGGAAAGGTCTTTCTTTGGAGATCCAAAAGCCCTTTACTGCCAGGAAGAGGGCCCAGCAGGGTCAAACACAAAGACCCAGCAGGGTCAAGGGTTAAATACGGAACAAGGGGTGGATTTGAAGGTCAAGAACCAATGGAAGCAGGGAAAAGTAGTGCAGAGGAAGGGCAGCAAACGAGGGGAACCAATGGGATAAGAGGAATGGAACACTGCAGCAAACTGGGGCCAATGGGGATGAGGTGAGGGAAGAACATTCTAGGGGGATATAAATATGGTGAAAAGGGGCTGAACAGGGGTAATGTCAACTGGATAAACCAATGAAATTTAACACATTACATGTGTCTACAGAGGCCTGTGAGAGGGAGGGGTGTAACCTCAGAGGGGTGTTTCTCTTTGCTTGTTTCTACCCCTCCAGAGTTGAGGTGTTACAGCCCCACTGGCAGGCGCCCGAGTCTCCAAAGGGGATGTAGTAGGAGCAGTGTATGAAGCCCTTCCTGCACTTGGGCCACTCGCAGGGCTTCCCTTAGTGGTGCCTTCGTTGGTGTTGGGTCAAGGCAGAACTGCTGCAGAAGTTCTTCCCACACTCCCCACACTCGTAGGGCCTCTCCCCGGTGTGGATGCGCCGGTGGATGGTGAGGTAGGAGTTGCGGTTGAAGCCCTTCCCGCAGTCGGGGCAGCGGAAGGGCCTCTCGTCTGTGTGAGTCCGCTGATGCAGGAGGACATGGGACTTGCTCCGAAACCTCTTCCCACACTCGGAACACTCGTAGGGCCTCTCGCCAGTGTGGGTCCTCTGGTGCCGGATCAGGTCGGAGTTCCACCCGAAGCTCTTCCCACAATCCAAGCACTCATAGGGCTTTTCCCCAGTGTGGATCCTGTGGTGTCCCATCAAGCTGCAGCTCTGTCTGAAGGTCTTCTTACACAAAAAACACTCATAGGGCCGTTCCCCAGTGTGGATCCTCATGTGCTGGAGCAGGTTGGAGCTGTCTCTGAAGGACTTCCCACATTCCCCACACTTGCAGGGTCGTTCCACCTGTTCCCCAGTGTGGATCATCTGGTGCCGGACCAAGTGCGAGTTCCGGCTGAAGCCCTTCCCACATTCCAAGCACTTGTGAGCCTTCTCCACCAGCTCTGAGCTCCGGCTGGACCTCGGGCCACCTTTCTGGCACAGAGGTGGTCTTTCCTTCTTGCAGCTCTCTGGGCTGGGTTTGCAGCCCCTCCTCGTGCGGCATCTCTGGGGCTCTTCCTTCTCCTCCATTGGCTCAATGCTTGGGAATGACAAATCCTGGTCTGGGAGGAGGAACAATAGGTCAGCACCTTAGGCTGGGGTATCTCCTGCCCAAGTTCCTCTCAGGAAGTGACCAGATATTTTGTGTCCATAAAAATCTCCAAAACGCAAAGGTTCAGCCCCCAAAGAAATCCTTACAGGAGATTTACCTCTCTTGTTTCTCCACTCTGGGTTTTGGGCTTTCCCTTCCCTTGGCTCATGGGGCTCCTGTGGCTCCTCTATTCTGAGGTCTTGCTTACAGATGACCCAGGCTATTTGAGAGTCCCAATGATCCTTTCTGCCCTGACTCCCTATTAGAGGGTTCCGTGTCTCCCAAGGGTCCCCCAACTCCAGAATCTTCTCCTCCACCCTTCAGGATGCTGTGGGTCCAACAGCCATGGGATTGTCCCTCTCCACTCTCACCACTCCATGGGTCTTGCAGTTCCCCTCCACCACTCTCCTGAGGGGCCTCAAGACTGATGTGCTCCTCCCGCCAGTACCTAGTGATAATCTTGTGGATCCCCAAATATCACCCCAAAGTGGAATCTGTGATTCAGCTTTTGAGTCCTGCAAGATCCAAACTTTCCGCCCCCAAAACCACAAGGCCTCCCAGGGACCACAAAGATATTTGGGTCTTGATTCTGGAATCTGCAAAGTCCAAACACTTCCCCCAGTAGAACTCGTCTGGAGGACTCCCTGATACATTTGGGGTGAGCTCCCCCTCCCTAGTCACCAGCAGGATGGAAACTTGTGCTTCTCCTTCTGCTTCTCTTCCTGCTCCTCCTTTACTCTCCCCCTCCCCTCCTCCTCTGTGACCAACCCAGATACCCCTTTCCCACCCCCCTCTGCCCCACAGCTAAAGCATCACCGGCTGCTGCGTGGGGGAAACCGCCCCAAGGAGCTCCCCAAGGATGGACAAGGGGTTTGGGGAACCCCCCTGTTGTGGTGCACCAGTTTAGTTGTTCTCTTGCACTGGGTGATTGGGAATTTGCACAGAATAGTTTTATATTGCACTGTATAGCTTATGTTACATCATGTGGTTTGTTACCCCTTTTTGCTATCACATGGTGTTTCGCTCACCTGTCCCAGTACCACCTGGTGGTCTCTCCCCTGGGTTACCCCTCCTCTAGCCACTCCTCAGTGGTGTTCCATTGGCTGTGGACCTCTCCCTCTGTCCCCATTCCGGGGGGTATAAAAGCTCTCTGCTGCCAGGGAACGCCCTCTTTCCTCCCATGGGTTTGTCCACCTGATGTGTGTCTTGGAATAAAGGACAACGTTTCCCACCTGGAGGAGAATGCTTCTCTAATCTTTCACCTTCGTCTCTGAAGGATCGTGTGGGCAAGGGTCTGTAGCTAGCCGGAGTGGACCCTGACAGTCCAGGAAACACGATTCTTCATCCCCAGTGCGGCTCCATCCCCTCCCACAGCCCTGGAGAATTGCTCCAGAGATTGAATGATGGGGACACAAAGTGACCTCCATGGAACCCCTTTCCTGCTGTCCCCCCTCCTGTTATCCACCTCTCCTATCCCTTTTCCATCATCCCTCTAAATCCCAGCTTCCCTTTGGCTCACTTTAGGGCTGACCCTCCCCTCTCTCTCACAATTTTGGTGTCCTAAATGCCCTTTTATAGCTTCTCCCCCCCTTTCCCATCGTGTTGAAAATAATGAGATGCAACTGTCTACAAAAAAATGGTGTGAATGTCCTTTGAGATAGAGCAACAGACTTGTAGATAAGGAAGTGACAGGAGAAACCATCAGTTTCAGAAAATGTTATTATTTGACATGGACTCCTGCTCAGCCAAGGTCCTACTAAATTCCTGACCCTCCAGAAAAAGAACAAAGACTTAACAGAGCCATTATTATCGCATGTGATAAAAAAGTGGATAATATTGAAGTAGTTCGCACATTCTCCCAGAGGTAGTGTAGGACATGGACACCCAGGGGGTCAATAAGGGAAGTGGAGAAGGGATTTGGACAACAGGGGATGGATGGAGTTGGTGTGCTGGAAAGGGATTGGGTGAATGTGAGAGTGCAGCAATATGGTTAAGGCAAGAAGCAGCAGGAGGTATCTATGTGGTATGAAAAAGGATGGCGGAAAAGAAAAGGAAAAGAATGAATTGCGAGGATTGGGATGTTATTCAGCACCATCGTATCCTCAAAATTTGCCAGGTGATCCAGGACCAATTACAGGTCCTTTCTATCCCCGGTTTCCAGGAGAGGCAAACAAGGAGGTGAGGATGTCAGGGGGTTTCTCTGTGCTGGGCAGCGGCAGCAGCGGGCGCAGAGCTGCGGCACCGGGAGCACGGGCTGGGGGCCTGTGGGGAGCTGCGGGGCCGGGCCGGGGCTGTGGGGCAGCCGGGGCTCAGCGCCGGGCGCTGCCTGACCCCAGCAGCCCCGGGCAGGGCCGCCAGTAGCCCCCGGCCCCCAGGAGGCTGCGGGACGCCCCGGCCGCTGCCCGGCCCCGGTGCCCTGTCCTTCTTCTTTCTTCTCCCTGGCATCCATGTTCAGGGTGATGTTGGCATTCACAGATTGGTTTAGAGCAGAAAGTCACTGTCTAACATAGGTGATAGGTATTGGAACATAATTATAAACATAGTATACGTAGTTTTTAGTATAAAAGATAGCACCAGCCAGAGAGGCGGGAGTGTGCCTCGGACAGACCTGCAGAACAGACCTTGGCAGGCCAGACAGAAAATGTTTGAGATAAAGAAATAATAAACAACCTTGAGAACGTGAACCAAAGACTTCTCAACTCCTTCTTCAGTTGACGGGTTGGGGAAAAGAGACTTTTAACAAAGACACACCTCAGGATCTTCCCAACCAGACCAGACCAGAGGAGATCCCGAGAACTGGTGTCCCTGGGTGGGCTCCCCACCAGGAGAAAATCCTGAGAACTGGCAACCCAGGTGGCACGAAGGGGCGACCCAAGAGGTGAGCCGATGGCAAGCAGCCAAACCACCAGACGCTGGAATCCAACCCACGAAGAAGCACACCACCAGACAGAAAAATCCAGGGAAGAGCAACCTGACCCTTGCCAAAACAAATCACCTTGAGCACAGCCCGGACGAGAGGAGGACCAAGGCACCTGGGAATCCTCACCTGTGATCTGCTGGCCAGAGACCAGGACAACCTCCAGACCGACCTTGTGGTGCTTCAGCTTTTGGTGAGACAGGTCAAAATTAAGAACACTGAGAACACAGAGGGGGGGGGGGGTCGTCATCACCCTTAGGGTCTCCACGGGCGCCTCTACCGGTCCCAGGAAAGCTGTCCCAGGAAAGCTGTCGGTGCGGGTGGCGGAGGAGGAGCAAGCCCTGAGGGGGAGCTGCCTTCCGACCATGCCGAGGCAGTGATGGGCCGGCAGCGGCTGCCCAGGGAGGGAATTCCTCCCACTGAAAAGGAACAGGACGATTTAACATCATGTCAGGGTTCCCTGGGGTCCCTTGAGTCTTCAGAATCCCCAGAACCCCTAGAATCTCCAGGGTCCTCTGATGCAGACATCCCTCAACCAGTCCCAGGAAAGCTGAAACTAACCCGTTCCCTCGGTGGGGAGGAAAAGAGCGGTGTCGTCTATGAACGGGCTTGTAGTCCCAGATCGAGTACACTCACGGCAGGGGGGGAGGCGGCAGTGAGAGACTGATGGGGGAGGGTGCAGAGATTGCAGGACCGAGAGATGAGGGAGGGCAGCCTCTGGCAGCGGCGCTGGGCAGCACACAGCAGCCGGGGCGGCAGCAGAGGCAGCGGGGGTGACCATGAGGGCGACAGGGGCCGCGGCAGTGGCCGGGGCAGCCGCGGAAGCGGCAGCGGCGGGCGGCCAGCGGCCGTCCGGGGGATGCTCGGCGGCTGCAGGAGCGGGGCGAGCGGGGCCAGGCCGGGCGGAACAGAGCACACGGGGTGGCGGCGGCATGCTCGGTGCCGGCGGCGGTCACGGACAGTGCGGGTCCAGTGGTGCTCACGGTGACAAAAGCCAGCCGCAGCTGTCCGGGGAAAGCGCACGGGTGGCGAGGGCTGAGCCAGCCAGGGCCGGGCCAGCCCAGGCGAGGCGCGGGGGCCGAGTACCCAGCGGCGCAGCAGAGACGCGAAACCCGGGAGCCGCAGCTGGGAGGGCTTTGCCACGTTCCGCAAGCGCGGCGGGGACACCGGCGGGGCGGGACATGCTCCCGCTGGCTGCGGGTGCGGGCGCAGGGCCAGGGGGAACCAGCCCGAGCGGAGATCCCGGCGGAGCGGAGCCCAAACGATACCGGGGCTGCGCGGGCCCGGGCGGATCCCGATCCCGGGCAGGAGGGAGCGCTCCCAGGGCTCGGCTGCTCCAGAGCCGCTGCAGGCGGCGCGGCCGGCCCGGGCGTTCCTCTCCGCACCCCCGGGACGGCGCTGAAGGCTGAGGCTGGGCCCGGGCAGGCGGAGACGGGCGCGGGCAGACATTCCTCAAGGCACCGCCCGGTCACAGCTGCAGGCAGCCACAGCAGCCAGCCCATCGCAGCAATCCCGACAGGCGTATGGGAAAAAAACAGGTCAGGGAACTTCTTCAAGAGCAGGACGGAGAACTTCTGAGAATTCTCACCAGTTTTTTAACAGGGCAACTCCACAGAAAATGCAGCAGATGTTATATGGGGCACTTCATATACCCAACTGTTCCACAGACCAGTTCCACAGAATCTGTTTTCTTCAACCACTATTAGTACATGTACGGGTTCAAAAAGTATGACATTTTATTACTCCTAATTGTGATTATAATTTCTGGGGAGGGATTTAATGGCAAATGTGTGAATGCAAATTAATACTGCAAAACTTAATGAATTACTTTAACAATTCCCTATTCCAAGAAAGCTTAGGAAAGGCTTACACAGCCAGTTATTGAGTCTCTGCTAAAGGCAGGGCTTTTGGAGCCAGAGATGTCTCCCTACAACCCTCCTATCTTGCCAGTCAGGAAACCAGAAGGATGGAAAGCTGAAGAAAAGAAGAATTTTCAAATGTTAAAAAGCAGATAAATTGAGGCTCCCTCCATGGCCCTCCTAGACAGGGAAAATAAAATGTAAATGAATGTTAAACAGGGCTGAGCCAAAGGAATTCTTGTGCTAAAATGTTCAACCTAGTGGCCAGAGAGTGGCCTCACTGTCTGCAGAATTGTGCAGACACAGTTTTCATGGGAACTGAGGCTTGGAGCCTGGCACTGAAATGCCCTGAGCAGGAAGGCTCCAATATCTTCTGGAGACACCATGCCACCTAACAGGGGGCAAAAGCAATTCTGACTGCTTCAGCAATCATTGTGTCATTTATTAACATATTTTTAAAAGGAATAATTTCAAGTTTAATTTTAAAAAAAATTCTCTACTCATGCTTAATTTGCTTTGGCCTTGGGGAAAGGAGTTTTAAAGTCTTTTTTTACACAGTGTTATACCACTCAACAGAGATGACTTCAACAGCTCAACAGACTGGGAATAGCCCAAAAGATACGCACAGAGATAAGGACCAGCAACATCAACGCCCAGTGGGCAGAGGGAGACACTGATGGGGAAATACAGACAAAAAGGAACCTGCTTTTAAGACAAACCCGAAGGAAACGAGCCCTGCAGCCTCGCTTCTTCTGCCCCTTAATCAGGAGCATCGGTGCATCTCTTTGATTTTCCCCAAAAAGGGAAAACCGCCCCAAATCCCCTGTGAATGAGTGGGGGAGGGGAGAGATTTCTGGTAGAGAACTCCAAAATCTCAGAGCAGGATAATGAGAAGTAAGTGAAGACCCTTAAATCCATCTTTCCGCACGGCTCCCTCCTTCCCGCTGCACCTCCTGCCCCGGCAGGGCCGCAGACAGGGAATGGGGCCGTGCTCAGTTCATCCCCGGGGCTTCTCCCTCTGCTCAGGGACAGGAGTCGTTCCCCTGCTGCAGCCTGGGCTCTCTCCCACCGCAGACTTGTGCAGGAACTTCTCCAGCCCGAGTCCATGCCATGGGCACAGCCCCCTCCAGCTGCTGCAGCGTGGGTCACTGTGCCCCGGGCTCAGTCCTGCCAGGACAGGCTGCTCCAGCGGGGCCCCTCTGGCCACGGGGCCACAGCCTCCTCTCAGGCACCGCTGTGCTCCAGCGTGGCTCCTGCGGGGGCCTGGAGAGCATCTCTGCATCCCCATGGATCTCTGCATCCAGCTGTCTTTGAATGCACCAGGAATAGCTTGACCTCCACCTGAAGCCCTTCCCACATTCCAAGCATTCGTGGGGCTTCTCCCTGGCCTGAGGCTGCTTCATCAGCTCCAAGACATGGCCAGATCTCCATCCACCTTTCCGGCACAGGGAGGGTTTTACCTCCTCACAGCTCCCCGGGCTGGCTTTGCAGCCCCTCCTCGTGTGGGATCTCTGGGGCTTTTCCTCCCCATTGGATTCCTGTGCCCTGGAGCCGTTCCAAATGGCCTCTTCCACGAGGTTCTGAGGCAGGGGTTTGTTCTCCCTGGTCTCTGTCCACAGCTCAGTGCCTGGGGTAGGAAGGACAAGGAGAGGAAGAGACAGGGAGAAGGGAAAAGGAAAAGGCAGGAGAGGAAGGAACAAGAAGGAACAAGAGAGGAATGAGAAGGGAAAGGAATGTGGATGGATGAAGGACAGAATGGGGAGAGGAAGGAAGGTGGACATGGAGAGGATGGGCTTTGCCTCCATGCCAGAGAGAAGGGCAAGGAGATTTCCCCCAGTCCATCCCTGGCAGGACAGCATTGGTAGTGAGGCTGTCCTGCAACCCGGGACCATGCTGGGCTGGGAGATGGAGCTGGAGAGAGGGTGAAAGGGCAGTGACTTCCTCCTCACCCGCCTCAGTGTCCCAGGTCATCTTCCTCCTTCTTACACCCTCCTCCACCTCCATCCAGACAAAGTTTGGAATTGACAAATCCTCGCTTGAGAGAAAAACAACGTGTTAGCACCTTGGGTTTGATGGTCCCACTGCCCAAATCCGGCTCCACAAGTCCCCACCACATTCACCACTGGATTGGCCCAGACCTGCTCATCTTCAGCCTCCCCTACCCCTCTGGGCTGTCAGGGGATCCCAGGTCCGGGATTGCTCCTTGCAGCTCTCCTCACTCCCAGTGAGCTCCAAAACCAATGTCACTGTCACACCCACCCCCCGTACCAGGCGATCACCATGTGGATTCTTTAAGATCCCCGCAAGGGGCATTTGTGGCTCGGTTTTCAGGACCTGTGAGATGCAAACATCCTCTCCCTTGCAAAAAGCCCTCCTGGACACTCCCTGAGAGATGTGGGATGAGCTCCCTGCCCTGCTTACCTGCAGGATGTGGGCAGGGATCCATGCTGCTGGGATCAGGGGGAGCTGAGGACTCAGTGGGCAGACGGGGGAACTGTGTGGTTCTCCTGTTGCTCCTCCTCTTCCTAGACCTGTTCCTGCTCCTCCTTTTCCCCTCTTCGTCCTCTCTCCCTCTTCTTCAACTCGCTCCTTCTCCCTGCCCACCCCAGACATCCCTTTCCCACCCTCCTTTGCCCCACAGACACCACAGGACTGGCTTTTGGTTGGGGAGAATCCCCCATGAACCCTGTTGGGATGGGCAGGGGGCATTGTGTGGAACTCCACCATGGCCCCTGAGAGCCCTAGGGAATCACTCCAGGAATTGAGGGATGGGGACACAAAGAGATCCCCAAGAAACTACCCTTTTTCTGTCCCATGCCAAATTTCCCTCCGATCTCCCCTCATTCCCCACACCCACAGACACCTCCAACTCAATTTGGGGACCCCATCCCTCTCCCACTCACGTTGGGATTCCAAGACCCCTCCTTTCTCCCACCCTTCTGCCCCTACCCCATCATTTCCCCAACCCCACCACATCCCCTGTGCTTGGTTTTGAGGGTTCCAGGTCTCTCCTGCTCAGTCTGGGGGTCACATCCCCCCTTTCCCTCAATTCAGCCCCTTCCTGGAAGCTTTTTCCTGGGAGGAATCCCTGAGTTTTAGGATTTCAGGGGTGCAATTTTGGAGGGGGACAGCTCTGTCTGGCTTTCCCCTCTCTGCTGTGGCCTCTCAGCTGCCCCTGACACCCTGGGGGTGCTGGGATTTCCCTCCTGGGGACAAGGACGTTCATTCCCTTCCAGAAGCCCAATGCCCGGCTGGGGCTCCAGGTCAGGTGGTCGTTGCGCAGCTGCCCCAGAACCTCCCCCAGGGTCTCCCAGCACAGCCAGAGCCGCTCGGCCTGGGATCCCCAAAGGCCTCAGCAAGCCCCAAGTCCCTCCCAGAAACCCTCAACTCCCTCAAACCCAGCATCCCCCACATCCCCTGCAAGTTCCCCCCATGGCACCGGCCATGGCCATGTCCCCACTTGTCACTGGCCATGTCCCACCATGTCCTCACCCATGGCTGTCTCCCCACCATGTTTCCATCCCTGTCATTGACCCCCACATCTCCATCTGTGCCTGTGTCCCCCATGTCCCTACAAATGGCCCCATCCCCCTCCATGTCCATGTGTCCTCAATGTTTACATCCCCCCATGTCCCCCAACCATGTCTTAGTTCAATGTCTTTATTTTTACCCCAATATTGGATATTTTAAAGGGACGAAGATAAATGAAAACCAAATCAAGGCCAAAAGAAACGTATTTATGTGTCCATGCCAGCTGAGGTTCCAAGAACTTGGGTGGGAGGGAAGAACCTTTTTTGGTGGTTTCCATACCAGAGTCTCCAAAATCTTGGTCTTTTCCCCAGTTCATCACTGTTTGGCTGTGGAAGTTGCCCTTGGGACACAGGAAATCAAACTCTTGGAATGCCTGAGGTTGGAAAAGATCTCCAAGACCATTCAGCATTCATTGATGCCAGAAGATAGGATTGAACGCAAAAGATTTCCTGGGGTTGAAAGTCAACAAATCAAATTGTCCCCAAGGAATTCCCGCTGTTGGTCTGTGTCCTGATGGATGCTCCTGCTCCTGCATTCATACAGGTGCCCACAGAGAACCAGGAAGATGTGGAGCCACCTAGGATGTTCTCATCCCAACACAGATCACCAGGACCACAGATCACCAGGACCACAGATCACCAGGGCTCTGCCCAACGGGGGTCACTAGGGATCATCCAACGCGGATCCTCCCATGGGGGATGGAGCTGGAGCAGCACACGAAGCTCTTCCTGCACTCGGGGCACTCACAGGGCTTCCCTTAGTGGCGCCTCCATTGATGTTGGGTCAAGTTAGAGCTCCTGGAGAAGCTCATCCCACACTCCCCACACTCGTAGGGCCTCTCCCCGGTGTGGATGCGCCGGTGCTTGGTGAGGGAGGAGCTGTGCTTGAAGCCCTTCCCGCAGTCGGGGCAGCGGAAGGGCCTCTTGCAGATCCATTCCCCCCACATCCCCAGGGAATCACTCCAGGGATCAAGTGATGGGGACACTAAGGGATATCCATGGAACAGCCCTTTTTTCTATCTCATCCCCACCTTTCCCTCCCCTCTCCCATCATCCCCCCAACCCAAGGACCACTCCCAACTCAATTTGGGGGTCCCATCCCTCTCCTGCTCTGAATCCTCTTTTCCCCTGCTCTCCCACCCCTTTCCCATCATGCCTCCAGCTCAACCTCTCATCCCTGTGCTTGGCTGTGGGGGATCCAGGTCTCTCCTGCTCAGTCTGGGGGTCACATCCCCCCTTTCCCTCAATTCAGCCCCTTCCTGGAAGCTTTTTCCTGGGAGGAATCCCTGAGTTTTAGGATTTCAGGGGTGCAATTTTGGAGGGGGACAGCTCTGTCTGGCTTTCCCCTCTCTGCTGTGGCCTCTCAGCTGCCCCTGACACCCTGGGGGTGCTGGGATTTCCCTCCTGGGGACAAGGACGTTCATTCCCTTCCAGAAGCCCAATGCCCAGCTGGGGCTCCAGGTCAGGGGGTCCTTGAGCAGCTGCCCCAGAACCTCCCCAGGGTCTCCCAGCACAGCCGGAGCTGCTCGGCCTGGGATCCCCAAAGGCCTCAGCAAGCCCCAAGTCCCTCCCAGGAACCCTCAACTCCCTCAAACCCAGCATCCCCCACATCCCCTGCAAGTTCCCCCCATGGCACCGGCCATGGCCATGTCCCCACTTGTCACTGGCCATGTCCCACAATGTCCTCACCCATGGCTGTCTCCCCACCATGTTTCCATCCCTGTCATTGACCCCCACATCTCCATCTGTGCCTGTGTCCCCCATGTCCCTACAAATGGCCCCATCCCCCTCCATGTCCATGTGTCCTCAATGTTTACATCCCCCCATGTCCCCCAACCATGTCTTAGTTCAATGTCTTTATTTTTACCCCAATATTGGATATTTTAAAGGGACGAAGATAAATGAAAACCAAATCAAGGCCAAAAGAAAAGTATTTATGTGTCCATGCCAGCTGAGGTTCCAAGAACTTGGGTGGGAGGGAAGAACCTTTTTTGGTGGTTTCCATACCAGAGTCTCCAAAATCTTGGTCTTTTCCCCAGTTCATCACTGTTTGGCTGTGGAAGTTGCCCTTGGGACACAGGAAATCAAACTCTTGGAATGCCTGAGGTTGGAAAAGATCTCCAAGACCATTCAGCATTCATTGATGCCAGAAGATAGGATTGAACGCAAAAGATTTCCTGGGGTTGAAAGTCAACAAATCAAATTGTCCCCAAGGAATTCCCGCTGTTGGTCTGTGTCCTGATGGATGCTCCTGCTCCTGCATTCATACAGGTGCCCACAGAGAACCAGGAAGATGTGGAGCCACCTAGGATGTTCTCATCCCAACACAGATCACCAGGACCACAGATCACCAGGACCACAGATCACCAGGGCTCTGCCCAACGGGGGTCACTAGGGATCATCCAACGCGGATCCTCCCATGGGGGATGGAGCTGGAGCAGCACACGAAGCTCTTCCTGCACTCGGGGCACTCACAGGGCTTCCCTTAGTGGCGCCTCCATTGATGTTGGGTCAAGTTAGAGCTCCTGGAGAAGCTCATCCCACACTCCCCACACTCGTAGGGCCTCTCCCCGGTGTGGATGCGCCGGTGCTTGGTGAGGGAGGAGCTGTGCTTGAAGCCCTTCCCGCAGTCGGGGCAGCGGAAGGGCCTCTCCTCTGTGTGAATCCGCTCATGTTCTAGGACATGGGAGCTGGTCTGAAACCTCTTCCCACACTGGGGACATTTGTAGGGTTTCTCCCCAGTGTGGATGAGCTGGTGGTGTTTTCTCAGGGCAGAGCTCCACCCATAGCTCTTCCCACATTCCAAGCAGGTGTAGGGCCATTCCCCTGTGTGGATCACCTGGTGCTGGATCAGACCAGATATCCATCAGAAGCTCTTCCCACATTCCCCACACTCATAGGGCTTTTCCACAGTATGCATGCGCTGGTGTTCCCTGAGCTGGGAGCTCCGGCTGAAGCTCTTCCCACATTTCTCACACTCATAGGGTTTTTCTCCACTGTGGATCATCTGGTGCTGGATCAGGCTGGAGCTATGGCTGAAGACCTTCCCACATTCCAAGCACTTGTGGAGCTTCTCCCTGCCATGAAGCTTCTCCACCAGCTCTGAGCTCTGCCTGGATCTCCGGCCGCCTTCCTGGCTCAGGGGCGCTCTTTGCTCCCCGCAGCTCCCTGGGCTGGGTTTGCAGCCCCTCCTCGTGCAGGATGTCCAAGGATTTTCCTCCTCCTCCATCTGGCTGTGCCCTGGGAATGGAAAATACTGATGCGCAGGGGGAAAAATCAAAAAGAGAGCACCTTGGGCTGCAGGTTCCTCCTTGTCCCAGATCATCTCAGGAAGTCATTGGGCATCTTGTGTCTCTAAGTACCTCCAAAACACCAAGCTTCAACCCAAGAATCCTCCAAACATCAAGACACAGATCAAAAACTCCCAAAACAACAAGTTTCAGCCAAAACAGCCTCCAAAATACAAAGATTCAGAACCTACAAAAAACCGAAGCACCAACACTTAGCTCAGTGAAGCTCAGAAACACCAAGATTCAGCCCAGTGAAAATGATGGATCCCTCTCCCCAGTCACCTGCTGCATATGGGGTGGAGCTCCTGCTGCAATGCTTTTGGAGCTAGGTGAGAGGCTGCAGATACAGGGAGAAGTGGACCGTTGTGGTGCCTCCTAATTCTGCTTATCCTGTGTCCCAGTCCTTCCTCAGGAACAAGAGGAAAATGTCTTTACAAACAGATGCTGTAAATCTGATCAGAGATAGGTCCAGGGAATTGGACATAAGGAAGTGACAGGAGAAGCCGTCAGATTCAGAAAATGTTATTAATTGATGACACTGACTGCTGCTCAGCCAAGGTCCTGCTCAATTCATGAACTTGGAGAAGAACAACAAAGACTTGACAGAGCCATGAATATCGTTTGCTATAGAAAAGTGGGGAGCATATTAAGGGGGTGTATAGTAGGTGAATTGGGATGTCTGTAGCTCTCAAGTGCTTCAGCCCATGGGGAAATGGAGAGAGAGATGTGGACAGGAAAATTAGGATGAAAAGGAAGCTGTGTCCTCCAACAACTGAAGAGACCCATGGGGAATATCCCATGTTTATGGATGACTCTTAAGAGACAGACCCAGGGCAGATATTCAATTATCTCAATAGTAATTCAAGACTGGAATTCCTTACCCTGGCAATTCTCCACCTAGTGCAGGGTGCAGATAAGGGATGTACATTTAAGGCAGGCTTGAAATCCAGGTCCAATGGGAAACCAAATACCAAAACCTACACAACTTGGAAGCAGTGAACATTAAACCATTGGATTTAGATTGGTTCAGACTGTAAAAAGTTTAGGAAAAATCTAGTAAAACTCTCGTCATGGAATGCTTTTCTCTGCACACCTGGGCTGTGTGTAGACGAAATTATTTCTGTTGCACATCCTGGCCAGAATCACATAATGCCTTGCGTCCCTAACACCAGAAATGCTGGAGAGTTTTGGTGACAACTTTGTAACATAAAGACTTTTTTTTTTCTAAATACTCATACTTTTATATGGTCAATAAGGTTTGGGCCAGGGGTGTCATAATCAATTTTTATTCTTAAGAGAAGTAGAGGCTCTTTAGGTATGTGTGTGAGTGTCTTTAGTGATAGCACAATTTTGATCTGGGTTTCTCGACGCTCAATTTAAAGTTGTAGTTTTAAAAACTAGAAGAGGTTTAAAGGGGATCCCTTAACTCTGAAACAGTTAACAGAATAGTGTTTAAAAAAAATCCCAAAAAACAAAAGCTACCAAAAAAAAGCAATGGGAGGTGGGGGGGAAGGAACAGGTGTCACCAGATTACTGCCCTGAAAGAGAAGCTTCATTCCAGGCAGCCAGGAGAGGAGCTTTAGAAATGCAAATTAACACTGCTGGGGCAAAGTGTGGACAATGGACCCGGGTCTCTTGCCTGGGGCAGGAATTGGGCTGATTCCCTCGGCCCCTCACCCCAAGCTCTGCCGGCTTCCACTGATACCCCCTCAATCCCCTTCCCCAGCACCGGGACTCCCCTGTACCCCTTCATCTGGCACCGGGACCCCCCTGTACCCCCATTTCCGGCCACCCCGAGCCCCCTGTACCCCCTTATGTGGCACAGGGACCCCCCTGAACCCCGAATTCCGGGAGGGAAACTCCCCTTGAACCCGCATTCCCCGTCACGGGAACCCCCTGAACCCCCCTTTTTGGGCACTGGGACTCCCCTGCACCCCTTATCCGGGCTTATCTGGAGCCTGGAACCCCCTGCACCCCCATTCCTGGGCACGGAAAACCCCCTGAACCCCAATTTCTGGGCACCGGGACGCCCCCTGAACCCTCATTCCCAGGCATGGGACCCCCCTGAACCCCATTTCTGAGCACCGGGACCCACTGCACAGGGACCCCCTAAACCTCAATTTCTGGGCACTGAGACTCCCTGAACCTCAGTTTTCAGGCACCAGGACCCCTTGAACCCCAGAGCCCAGGAAGGGAACCCCCTGAACCCCATTTCCTGGGAACCAGGACCCCAGTGCATCCCACTATCAGGCACCGGGACCCCCTGAACCCCCATTCTGCTGCACCAGGACCCCCCCCAAGTCCCCCATTCCTGTGAACAGGGACCCCCTGCACCCCCTTCCCCAGCACCGGATCCCAGCCAGGCCATTCTCTGGCACCAGGACACCCCTAAATCTCGATTCCTGGGAAGGGACTCCCCCTGAACTCCAGTTCTGGGGCACCGGGACCCCCCTGCATCCCCTTATGCAGCACCGGGACCCCTGAACCCCCGTTCCGCTGCACCAGGACCCCCGTGCACCCCCACATCCAGGACTGGAGCTCTCCCAAACCTTCCATTCTCATGCACCGGGACCCCTCTGCACCCCTTATCCAGCACGGGGATCCCCCTGCAGCCCTTTTCTGGCCCTCCCCCTCTCAGAGACCCCAGTCCCCCCCTTCTCCTTGACCCTGGCCCCCCCTGGGCCCCCACTCCTGCCTTCCCCAGCCCGCACCCACCACCTTCCTCACCACCGGGGCCCCGTGCACCCCCTTTCCTGGGCACAGGGACCCCCTGACCCCCCATTGCCCTCACCCCCCTTTCCTTGACCTGGGACCCCCTGAACCTCCGTTCCTGGACATGGGGACCCCCCTGCACCCCCTTATCCGGGATTGGGAGCCCCTCCTGGACCCCTTGAGATGTTCTGGGACCCCCTGCACCCCTCCCTGCCCCTCCCCCCCTTCCCAGATGCCAGACCCACTCTTTTCCTTCACCTTTGCACCCCCAGATCTCCCAAATTTCCCTGTACCCCCTCATCTGACACCGGGACTCCCCAGAACCCCATTCCTGGCAGGGAACCTCCCTGAACCCCCATTCCTGGGCAGGAGATCCCCCTGAACCACCATTCCCAGACATCAGAATCCATTGAGCCCCCATTCCTGAGCACGGGCACCCCCTTGAGCACCCATTTCTGGGCACTGGGACCCCCCTGTACTCCCTTATCTGGCAGCTGGACCCCCCTGAACCGCCATTGCCGAGCACCAGAACCCACTTGAATCCCGAATTTTGGAAAGAGAACCCCCTGAACCCCCATTCCTGAGCAGGGAAACCCCCCTGCAACCCCATTCCTGGACATGGGGACCCCCATGAAGGTTCATTTTCTGGCACCGGGACCCCCCTGCAACCCCTTATCTGGCACCAGGACCCACTGGATCTCCCATTCCTGGGGGTCAAGATCCCTTTGAACCCCAAATCATGGCACAGGAACCCCGTGAACCCCCTTATCCCAGACTGGGACCCCTGCACACCCCTGTCAGTGCTCTGGGACCCCCTGCCCCCCCTTTTCGAGCATCCCTCATTTCACAGACCCTTTGGAGCTTTTCCTTGACCTTTGGACCCCTCAGATCTCCCAATTCTCTGTGTCCTTCCATTTCCACTCTCGTCCCTTCCCAAAATGGGTTCCCAGAGGGTCCAAGGGGTCTCAGGGGGGTCGCAGCGGGGCCCCTCCTTTCCTCTGCATCAAGGACCCCCAAGACTCCCATTCCCAGGTCTGCCCACCTTGTGACCTCTTTCCTTGGCACTGGGGACCCCTGGACTCCCTTTCCTGGGCACAGGGATCCCCTGGAACCCCCATTCCAACTCTCCCAGTCCCTGAACCCCCCCACTTCTATAACTCTGGAATCCTCTGAGCCCCCATTCCTGGACACCAGGACCCCCTGCAGGCCCTTTCCTGTCCATCCCACCTCTCCCACCCTGCACGCCCTTTCCTTGGCCCCAGGATCCCCCAACCCCTTCCCAGCTCTCCCAGTTCCCCTTTCATTGATCCATGACCCCCTCAACCCCCCCAAATCTCCGTGTCCCCCCAGTTCTCCACTCCCTGCGTTACCTGTACGTGGCAGTGTCAGAGCCCAGCCCGGGCATCGCCCAGTTCATGTCCACTGGGTACCTGGATGGGATCCCCTTCATGCGCTACGACAGCGAGCGGGGCCGGATGGAGCCGCTGACGCAGTGGATAAAGGATGGAGTCGAGCAGGAATATTGGGAGAAGCAGACCCAGATCTGTGAGAAGAATCAGCATGTGGCTGCCAGGAACCTGGATACACTGCAGGAGCGGTACAACCAGAGCGGGGGTGAGTGGGGAGAGCTGGGGCTGGAATGGGATCTGTGGGGCTGGGATGGGAACTGTAGGTCTCAGATTTGGATTCACAGGGCTCCAAGGGAGTGAAATGGGAATCCATTAAGCTGGGATGGGATAGCTTGTGATCCATGGGTCTGGAATTGGATCCATGGCGTTGGGATAGCATCTGTGGGGCTGGGTTGGGATCCATGGGGTTGGCATGTGGATTCATGTGTCAGTGTCGAGGTGGTCACGACACAAAGCAGAGACCACAAGCAGTCTCAGATGGCAACTCTTTATTATTGAACATGGCTGACCTTTTATACACTTTTTAATTGTTTATGCTTCTTCTACCCTAACTATTGGCCACAATAAATCAACATAACACCATTGGTGAAAAGTTACAGTGACTTAACTAACTTTCTAAAAATACTATGTCCAGCAGAGTTCTCTTCTTATCTTTATTCAATTCCACACTCCTCCTGGTCTCCTTGGTTGCAGCCTTGGAGAGAGCTCCTTCTCAGCTGCTTCTTGCTTCTCAGCTTCTGCTCGCTCCTTTAGCTAACAGGCCCGCTGTTAGCCCCTTCCACAATTCCCCCTTTTTGTTTTTGAACTGTAAACACAGCTGCTATGGATTTTTGCAGGGCCCTTTGCAAAAATCCAAGCAGACGGGGGAAACAAAAAACATCAATCACAACCATCAACAAAATTAACATTCCCATTCTTAATACAATCATTCCCGTCCTTCATCCATCTATAAGTGCTTTTCAATTTCTTAACTACTCTGTCCTGTAAAGTTATATGTCTAATACTCAAACCTTAAACTATAACTGCCCCAAGTGCTCAAAAAGAGATGCAGGAATACTAGAACTAAAGGTTCCAAAAACCTGCATTGTCTTGATCGGTGCAAACCAAAACCACACTCTTTAATTACTATGAAGGCACATAAAAATTTGTGAGGTACATATCCTGTTATGGGGCCTTAGCCAGTGTTATCTGCGCGTTCTGCTTCAGCTGCGGAACCATCCATCCTGTCCCTGCCTGCACGCTCCAGATAGGGTTTAAAACAGTGAGCAGGAACCCATCGAGGACCATTACCTGTCAAAACACAAGCATAGCCCCTCCCCCAGGTTATTGGCTCCACTGGACCAGACCACATACCAGTAATTAAATCCTTGACCCATACCTTGACATTTCTACGGAAATCTGGTTGCTTAGAATTCAAAGAGAAAAAATGGTAAAAAATTGGAGATAACTGTGAGTCAGGTAGGGGACACATAAAGTTTAGCACATGAACAGCTTCATCTAATCTCACTTGAGGTCATTCCTGTTGCATTCCCCCTTTTTGTTTTTGAACCTGACGTTTAAGACCATGAGCCCTTTCAATGATTACTTGGCCTGTGGGGACATGTGGAATACTTGTTGAATGCTCAATGCCCCAAGCATGAAAGAATGCTTGCATTTTCTGCAAAGCACATGCTGGCCCATTATCCGTTTTTATGTCACACGGACCACCTAGGATAGAAAAAGCAGGATAAAAATGACGAATGGCATCACGAGTTTTGTCTCCTGTAAATGCTGAAGCAATCATTGCATGAGAAAACTGTATCAACTATAACATGAACATACATAAAGTGACCAAATTCTGGGATTTTTGTAACATCAGTTTGCCATTCCTCTAAGGTGGAAAGACCCCTAGAGTTGGTACCATAATATTGACATGAGTCATGTGACAGTCAGGACAAGAAGAAAGAATTGATTTCGCTTCACCAGGAGACAATTTAAATTGCTGCTGTAAAGCTTGAGCACTCCAATGAAAAAAATGGATGAGATTAAACTGCCTGCTGCAACACATTAGGTACAGTTTTGATTGCAGGAGCAGCCACTAGAGAATCTACATAGGCATTGCCTTCAACAAAAAATCCAGGTAATGATGTGTGGCTGAGAATAAGCACGATGATGAAAGGATGTTTTCAAGGACCAATGAATGTCCATAACTTCACTAACATAGTGAACAGTGGTTTCTCTTGAATATTATAAAACACTGCTTGATCTAAATGCTTAACCAAATTGGCAATATAGATAGAATCAGTAACTATATTTAGAGAATCAGGAAATAAGGTGAAAGCCAAAAGAACAGCACAAAGTTCAACCAATTGAGGTGTTCCCTGCTGAATCATTGTCTCATATTGCCAGTGATCATCCTTTCTGCAAGCCACGGCTGCTTTTCCAGTTTTCCCTGATCCATCTGTAAAAAACTGTTATACCTTCCACTGGAACAGGAGAACAAATTTGTTTCTCTTCAAAAGGAATCTCTTTGGTCAGTTTTAGAACAGGATGAGAAGGCAAATGGTATTTTATTTGGCCTGTTAAACAAGATAAGGTACATTGTGACTCATGATTGTTTTGAAAGCACCATTCAAAACACCACTGTTGTACAGGTATCACAATGGTCACAGGGTTGTGTCCCAAAATCTCATGACAGTGCCTGTGGCCTTTGATGATAATATCTGCAAAAAGCTCATAAAGTCCTGGTGCTGTTTTCCGATATCTGAAAGATAAAATTCCAAAATATGCAGTTGTTCTTCCCAATTATCACTCCATTGACACAGTTTTCCACGTGGTATTTCATGGTCCTTCAAAATAAACAAATGAACACCAACAGAGGTATCTATTCTGATAACAAATTTGTGTGCTAAGGCAAATTCAGTTTCTTCTAGGTTCTTTTTTGCTGCTGGGGTCAATTGCCTCTCATCAGTAGAGGAAGTGATACCTGACAGCAAATCAAACAATGATTGCATCTGACGATTGGTTATGCCTAAATATGATCGAATCCAACCTATTAAACCAACCAATTTCTGTACATTGGTAAGAGTTATAACATCAACATCTAGATTTCACAGGTTGAGTCATAACTTGCGTGTTAGTCACCAACATACCTGGATATTTCCAAGGTATATGTTCCGATCAGACCAAAAGCTTTCAAATTTGTCACAGCACATTGTTTAAGAGCTGACAACTGTTGTTTGTTGTCAGATGCTAACAAGATATCATCCACGTAATGATAACAATAGCAGTTATTAAATTGCTCCCACACTTTTGACAAGGCCTGTGCCACAAACCATTGACAAATAGTTGGTGAATTTTCACACCTTGGGGAAGTACCTTCCATTGATATCTTTTATTGGGTTCAGCATTATTTGTGGAAGGCACAGTAAGAGCAAATTTTTCTTTGTCTTGTTCAGCCAATGGAATAGTGAAGAAACAATCTTTCAAATCAATGACAAGTATCGGCCATTCCTGTGGAATCATTGTGGGTGTAGGAAGGCCTGGTTGTAAAGCTCCCATTGTTGCCATTACAGCATTTATCTGCCGTAAATCATGTAAAAATCTCCATTTTCCTGATTTCTTTTTTATTACAAAAAGAGGGGTATTCCATGGGCTGGATGATTCTTCAATATGTCCCACTTGCAATTGTTCTATGACCAGTTCTTGCAGGGCAGTAAGCTTTTCAGTAGTAAGGGGCCACTGGTCAACCCAGACAGTTTTATCTGTCAACCATGTCAAGGCTACAACTGGACATTCATTGCCCTGCATCACAGTGGCCCCTATTAAAAATCCGTAGTAATTTTGACACCCCATTGAGATAAGCAATCTCTTCTCCACAAACTTTGAGGAGCGAGCATCAGCAACATAGGATCTGATGTTAGCTTGCTGGCCATCAGGATGTTTCACATTAATTACAATGGCTGACAAACCACCTGTTGTAGCACCACCCAACCCCAAAAGTCCAAACCATGCATGAATGAGAGGCCACGATTGAGGCCAGCAAAGTCACAAGAGTATTGTGGCATCTGCTCCGGTGTCAATCAAACCTGTTACTGATATGGTTCCTGGATGACATCCACTGGCTGTGAGGATGCATGTCTTTTCTGGACGATCCTCCATTACTTTCTCAGTCCAGACTATTTGAGGTACTCCTGTTGATCCAAAACTTCCCGTGTCATGACTTCGGTCCACTGCATTTGGAACAGAACTCACAAAAGGTACAATTTGAGCAATGCAAGTTCCTTTCTGAATTGTGACCGGGGGTTCATCAAGTGATACCATAGCATGAATCTGTCCTAAATAATCAGCATCAATAAGTCCTAAATGCACATGAATACCTCTAAGTGTAGTACTTGATCTCCCTATCAAAAATGCACTCAACCCCCGTCCTATTGGACCATAGGCATTGAGGGGCACTTTGCATATTCCTTTTTCCAAAATGGTTTCTGTGTCGGCGGTGGGTATATCAATCCCTGCGGACCCACTTGTTGCCCCTGAGTATTGTTCACAAATGGGCAGCTTTGCAGTGCTGGGAAGGCC